AAAACAGTAGAAAACAACAGCTTAAACTCAATCAAGTAGCTTTCGTTTTTCCCAGTACGATATAAATCTACACAATACAATCGAAACAGAAGAGTTCGATCGATTACGACCGCTCTCTTATGTTGATGTTGATTCCATTATTATGTGTCTTGCCATCGATGACCCCAACAGTATTGTTGAAGTCAATTAATAGTTTGAGTAGATTTCTTTCTACGCAAACATAACTCCTTTCAGAAATGGAAATCTGAGTGTGCTCACTGGTGTCTCCATGTACCTATAATTCTCGTTGATAAAACATGCCATTGATGCTGAAAATACCGAGTATAGGCGGATTTTCTTAGGAAATAAGACAACAAACGAAATGGTTCGGCCTAAGTATGATTTCAAATTGACTAGGGCAATAGGTACTGTACATTACGTAGAATGTTCGGCATCGACAAGAGAAGGTGACGATATTTTTAAGTATACAATTCGAGATTATTTTTCTCATTTATTTATGTATTGAAGAAGTTTCAAAATGTGCAGCTTGTTCCATGAAAGAAAGAATGGTAAAATAAGTGATCTGTCCGTATCAATAAGTCAGTAAGAAGCTAATCTACAAAAAAATACAGTTGCTGAATTTGTTCTGACTGTCCAGTTGAGTTGAGAGAAGTCGAATTAAAGTTCATCGTATTCATGCTGATTCTTTGAAATAAGCCGAACGATATCAAGGATCTGTTTCTTCGATGTATTTTCTCGAGCGTCAATGACCAATTCCTGAACTTCCTTTGCTCTTTTTGCATAACTACCATTAAGTAACATATGTTGAATATCATCTGTAAGATTGTACGAAACTTGACGACCGACGCCCATATCGACAACTTGCAGTGCATTATCAAATTGATCAGCAAAGAAAGGCCATACTAACAGTACTTTTCCATGTATCATACTTTCTAAGAGAGAATTCCATCCACCATGGGAGAAGAAAAATGCCACGGAAATATGTGATAATATCGCGCGTTGCGGCGCCCAATCAACAATAAGTTGATGATCAGAATCAAGGTTATGTAATGATGGTGGAAGCGCTGATTTCGTTTTTAACGACCAAATAAATGAATGATGTTTCAGTGCACAAGCAACACTATCAATAACATTTGTCGGTAAATTCGCAATTGAACCGAAAGCGATATAAATAACAGAACCAATTGGCTGTTTATCAAGCCAATCAATGATATTTCGCGTTTGAGACGTCATCCTTGATTGTTCATTATTGAAAACTAGCGGACCAATAAAACGAATAGGTGCTAAGTTTCCCGATGATTGATAAAATTCCTCGACGTATTTGCCATCGAACTCTTTCAAAGAATTACAGATAAAACCATTTGCTTGATGAATATTTTCTCGTACGTAATCATATGCTTCTTTCAATTGGCCAGTTTTATCCGTATGCTGACTGCGCATATAATTAATCACACCACGAAGATTACTGGGCAGAAATAAATGAATCGGTATGGATGCATTCAAGAACGATAATGGTACAAATGAACGAGCGATAATCATATCAATTGGTAAACGAACAGATGATTGAAGATCTGTTTGAAATAGATGATGCAATGCTTTGCCCATCCGAACTAAAACCTCATTAAATAATATTCTTTGATCATTGTCAAAAGCGATCTAAAAATTTCGATTTAGAAAAAAATAAGTTCGAAAAAGTCAAAACGTACCTGTGCAGTGTTATTCGAACTAATTTGAGATTCTTCGATTGTTAAGCCCGGAAAATGATTGTTACCATCGACTAAGCCGACAATATCAAGTGTTTTGCTGCTGTTCAAATCCGAAATGAATCCTTTGCGTTCAAATTCATTAATTCGATATATTGATGTAAGAAACGTAACATGACAATAAGATGAGAGCTGTTTTGCCAGTTCTAATGAAGCTATGGATACATACAAATACAAATCGACAATTCACCTTTCTAAACTACACTACGTACGAATCATATGGCTTAAAAACGGTGGAGCGATAACCAGAATGTGAGTAGCATTCGCTGTTGATAGTAAACCGCAAATCAGGGTGATAAATATACATGAGACGAACATAACTGCTATGATCGTATATACCCTTGTTCAGTCGTATTTATATGTATGCGCAGACAGCGAGAAAAGAAAGGAAAGAAAGATGTTCGTGAACGTACTTTTCATTTATGTACTTGACCCCATCGTTACAATAGACAGAGCGGACGAAAAGTTATGTATGAAGATGGATGAATGGATATTTATCGAAACCGATAAGCGAGTTCTTTTTATACGGTTAGTATTTTATTGACAAAAAATAAATCACTAATGGCATTCATGTGTGAACGACAGGGATATAATAAAAATAGTATTCTTCAAATTGTCATGCCTACTCCTTGGAGTTTGGTCGATTGGTGTCTTCCTTATATTGGGGTAGATTAAAAAAATCCACTCTGTTCATACGCTTCCAATGAAAAATAGGCTCTTGCTTTTGTTCATTTGCATTGTACAAATAGTCACAGAAAACATGCGTTCATTTCGTATGTTTAAAATGAAAAGTTGACAGTTTTAATGTGTCAATACAATACATTTTTACTATATGCTACTTTGATTACGGTGATTGATTTCAAATATCGAATAATGATTGTGATACATAAAAAAACATGCATGGTTTTGGACTTCAGGTCAGTCATCATTTGAGATGCTATTTTTAAGAAGGATATATGTTAGATATCTTCTCTTTCTTTACAAGTACTATTGCTTAATCGCATCGTCGATCGTTCAGTTCTATACCTACCATATTGAATACTATTTGTCGTTAGTTTTTAGTTGTGCAGATGGAGAGTAAGAGTGACAAATGAGAACATTTTACTTGATTATTACGTTCCCATGAATCATACTCGACCATCGAAAATAAAACCAATTCACGCGGTTCTTCTTCCATATAAATGATGTCAGTAGTTATGAATCATCATTCTTTTCTAATAATGGAAGAATATGTGCACAATACAGCCATTTAACATTATTGCACAACACACGACACGTCATTGTAATTTTTTTTTCTGTCTTCCTATTCTTATTTTCCATAGCTACAGTGAGAAATAAGATTCAATGGTGCACAATGAATCTGAACGCGAACAATTTCTTCAGAACGATCAAATCAAGCAATGTCGAATATGTTTAGATACTGATAATACTGATAGTTTAATTAGCCCATGTTTATGCAGTGGTAGTGCAGCCTTCGTTCATCGGACATGTTTAGATAATTGGCGATCGGAAAATATCCGTGGAATTGGATTTAAATATTGTGATATTTGTAAATTTGAATATGTGATTGAAACAGTCGATGACGACTTACAAGCTGGAAAGATAAGACGTTTAAAGTATTATTTCTTTGTTATTCGCGATATAACATCAATTTTCTTGTTAACTCAACTAATTATTCTTGCTTTAACATTCGTATTGAAATTGATTGATAAGAATAGTGGAGATATTAAGCGTCAATTTCCAAGTTGGATGAGTGAATTTGCGATGTATTACTTAACTTCGTTTGTTTTATTATTAGTATTAATTGGTTTCATTGTATTCATAATTACTTGCTATTCCCTTGGTCGTATTGATAGCTATATTCTAAATGGTTTTAGTCTCAATAGTGAGAAAAGACTACTTGCTTGTCTTATGATTTTTGTAGTAATTTGCGCTGTGATTGGAGTGGTTGTCGGGGTATTTTATGGTATTGCCATTCTCAAGAAAATCATGGAACACCATACAAGGAAGTTATGGCTAAGACAAGAAGCAAACAAATATATTGTTAAAGATTTTCAAGAACGAAAATCAGAATTAGAAAAGTATAGAATGCCAATGACAGCATCTGCAATACCGTAAACTACTTTATTTTGAGTGTTTGATCCGAGATAGAACGATGTATTATCTGTTACTGTCTTCTTTAATAAATAAATATACACAATCGAGGTTGATGTGTAATTAAATCACTGATAAAACATATGCCATCGTATAAGTTCAAGTAAATGTGAAAATATGATGGTTGATTCATAGTTGAGAACTTTTCTATGTTGGAAGTTTGAGTTGTGCATCTCATGATGCGTGATGATAGAAACATACATCTTTCAACTTAAAGGACGGATATGTCTTAAAGTGTGTGATAATGCAGCATGATTAGATTGAATTATCTTCCTGTATGTGGTACTTTCATTGTGCAATTTATATCGTTTTGCTAAAAACAGATCGTACACTGAAATACTTGTATAAGTTGCTTTTTAAAATCTTTGCAAAAACAACTCGTTCTCCAACGTTTCGAACAAATCTATGTATTTTGAGCTCACGCCAAATAACATGTATGCAAAATTTTTCCGCAGTCGATAAAAACCATTAAGGATAAGAGGCAAACCTCATGAGCAAATATTTTGGTTTGCCGAGTGATCCGTAGGTATGCACAAAGATGGATTTGAAGTTGTATATCTGCAAGAGCGTTGTCATCATCTGATTTGAGTCATCATAGTGAGAAAATGTGAACAGAATTTAGCGCTAGTAGAATACAACTTCATTCACTTCCTTGTTTGCTTTTTATAAATGTCTTGCCACATGGAATCGAGTATATGCGAATTTGAAAGTAGTTTTCTTATCTTCAATCTATGCATATAATTCGATGTAGTGTTTTTGCAAATAACTTTATCAGTTTACAATTGTAACCGATTGAAAGTTTCTGTTAATAACACTATGTCTCGTCTATAAAATGTTTCTTTTTGGTTACCGGCTTTGTGTTTCTTCTTCGAAAGGCAAATAGTAGTTGATAAGCATTTTCTCGGTGTTCTTGATAATAAAAAGTCAAATAAATAGAACGAATAAAGTCTTTTATCGGAACTCGACATTTCTGTGGTTTGCTTTATTCGCAAAACACCATCTTTTATTAAAAATTTACGTATTGTATATCGCTCAAAGGGTTGTTAGACTTTTCTGTTGAAATTTAGGTTGAAAGATTGAACTATGGACAAGTCAGCAGAGAAACGATTGAAGAAAATTTATCGACTTAGTGACGATATCGACGATTCACGGGCACGTCTTCTCGCAATAAAGTATAGTCAAGAGAAAAGTGATCTGACGAGTGAAAGAACACGCAAGAATCGTATGGAAGATTTGGAAACACATATCGACAAATTAACATTGAAACGGCAGGACGAAATAATGAGGCATTACTCTAACGTTAGGTTAACAAGAAAGTCATCTCCATCACCACCTCCACCACTATTGCGTGTGCCTTCATCCTCATCAACAATTCCACGACCGTCACCTACTTTATCATCACCACATCGATCATCATCGATACCTCGTGCACCAACCCGGTCGCCATCTATCTCGCCACCTCGAACACCATCTCCGTCGCCACAACCAGAACCACCGCCAGTGCTACCTGCGAGTTCTCCTGGTGAGTAGTAAAAGTCTATTATTTCCTATTGGGACCAGTGCGAGTTGATTAGAATTATTCTATTCGATTAATATATCGATTGTTTGATTGTATTTAGATATGCGGTCTAAACATGCAAATGATCAACCACCTGAAAAACCCAACATATGGTCTACAGAGCCAATATCAGCCGACGAAAAGGCTCATTATCATAAATGCAAGCAATACTACGATATTCTAGGACAACCTCTCGTGTCTGTTTCCGAGAAGATATTTTACGATGATTTTGAACTCTTAACTGCATCGCTGGTATGCGTGGTCGATCAAGACGCTAATGATTTTGATCCGGAAACATTTTTGACCAATATTGCCAATATCTTAAACATTGATGATATCACTATAAGCAAGATGCAAAGTGGATGTGTTAAAGTTGTATTTGATATTTTCAAGCAAGTGGATGGTGTAAAGAAAAAAATTGAAGTTAAAACCCTCTATAGTTCAATGACGGATAAAACGCTTCAATCATTAGGTTTATTAAAAGTTTTGTTCATGTTTATGGGTGACATGGAAACATATGATGAGTCTATCAAGTTTCGCTCGCAGATTACATTGCATCCCGAATTTAATCGTATCTATGATGTAAACCATTCATACTGGACTGGTTCTGCTCCTGATGAATTAGATCGAGGACCTCATCCTTATTNATCATCCGCAAACGATATTAGATGTTGGAACTAGTGAAACACCTTTCTTTGTAAGAAACAAACAGCAACCGATCGCGCGACAAGCTGAAATTATTTTCAAGACGATTTTATTTGCTGGGATCTGTATTGATTTATTAGCTATGCTATTTCTTCTACTTGGATTATGGATAATTCCTGTTATAAAATTATTTTTCCATAAGCTTCTACAGCCAAACAATTGGGTGCACCGTTTGGTCATCGGAACACAAAGCGATTCTTTGGAAATTGTAGAACTTCGCAAGAAAATTCTCGATTTGGAAGCTAAAATGAACAAAATGTCTACTTTTGAGAACTATCACCAGCCGTATGCTGTTCATGATGAACTCGAAATTAATATATCAGCGAATACTTTTTAATGCATTTTATTCCTGCATGAATATTTATTAATCTGTTTTTGTTTTTCTTTGTCTCTTAGAACATTTTAAAAAGAGATACCTGACGATCATCAAAGGTAAAATAATGGCTACGAACAATAAATCCAAACAATACTGTTGATAGAATCGTAAAGTATCGGGAAACGGCGTAAAACGGTCGAGATCTCCATTAAGACTAACAAAAAATTCGATCTCTTCCACTGCCCGTTTTAGGCCACCTGCATGCTTCATTTCCAACGAAATATGTTCAGCTGCCCTCTCGTACGTCGGGTTCGTCCATATAGTCATTAGTTTATCACTGACACTCTCGGATGTAAAAGTATACGTGGTAAAATGGCCAAGACTTTGCATTGTTTGTAGACGAGAAGGTGGAATGAACAGCGATTGTCCCAATTTGAAATTCTCGATTGAACGTGAATTATAGAACTGATCCACATTGAATGGCATACATATAATAGGCTTACGGAAATACAGTCCTTCTATACAAGAGCCCATTCCGCAATGACTTAAGAAGATTTTCACAGTTGGTTGTTGTAAAATCATTTTTTGTTTGACGAATCCTTGCTTGATTCTGACTCGTTCTTCATTTTTCAATATTTGACGGTATCTTACATCAGGTAAATTATTCAGAACTGCTTGATAAGTATCATAATTAGCATTCTGAAATGCTAGGAGTAGAAAACTATCCTCCGTTTGTAACAAAAACATTGCTAAACCACTGATTAAACTGTACATTCGATCATAGAAAATAAATGAGGTGCTACCAAATGCTCCATACACAATTGAACTGATTGGTTTAGATTTTATCCATGTAATTAGAGTGCTATTATCATCACCAATAGATGTTTCATCTATAAATGCACCTAAATATTTTTTGTAAGGAGTTGGAGAGACCGACATAGGAAACGATGATGGCAAACTAATCAAATGCAGTTGTTTCGATCTGGACGATAGAATATTCTTCAATGTAAAAGCATCGTAGAATGGACCGGGTATTTGAGGTAATGATTGAAAGAGTGTGTAAACTGCTGGTACCAACTTCGTTATTATTCTTGTTGTAGCATGAACAGTAAATGCTAGATTGTAAATACGATATTTAAACTGACTCATTTCTTTAGTTGTCAATGAGGCAAATTCATTTGGTGAATTAAGATTTAAAAAACTCAATGGATGTACTGCGTCTTGAATAACGCATGGTGTTGAAATCTTGTTGCATAACAATGATATTCCGAAAATCATTTGACCTGCCACGATGACATCAAAACGTTCGTGCATCAACACATGAATCGTTTTGTTCAGCAGTTCGCTGAATATATCGCCTGCCAATGACACGATCTCAGGAAGTGCGTTCAGCACAGAGTGATTAGCAAAATTAATGACTTCCTGTTCTACAAAGTATTTCTCTCGCAGAAAACCATCAATTGTGTCGTTAGCATAGATAACGCGGAATCGAGGAGAGGAATATGAATTCAAATCAGTATAAATTCGAGCCAATTGTTGAGTGAGAAAAGTTATATTGTGATTTTTCATTGCCTTGGCCAATTCCAACACAGGCGTCAGATGGCCTGCAGCGCCATCGACGACAAATAACACATTCAGACAATGTGATTGTAAAATCCAAGTTGATAAACAGATGAACACGAATTGAATGAAAATCATAGTGAATCGAATGATTGACTATGTGAATTTGTTGTTCATCTCATCTTTTTATACGAGCACTCATGTAATACATCCACAGGGTCAGTACGCGTGCAGAAAGTACGAGTGAGAACGTATGTCACATTTTCTGTTTGTCATACAGATAAAGCAATGGACTATCGCAGAACAGAAAAGAAAAGAATATGTGAAGGAGATTGTCGATTAATTCTATGTGACGAATAGAAGTTCAATACGAATAAATTTTTAACAAAATTTGAATAAACGCCGTCATCTGTTGCAATCGACGTTAATGAACTGTAGAAATCTCTATACCTATTTAATAATCAAAACAGACTTGTCTATGTCGATTAAAATCCCATGGAGATCAGAATTGTATCATTTTGAGAACTTCCATCTGCTTCAGTTCGATTTACAAAACATCTCCACGATTTCAAAACGCGAAGAAAATAGACTAAATACAAATAAATATTAACAATCACTGAGGGTGGGATTCATTGAATTCGTTCATCCAGTTCCGAGTTAAACGTTTTAAACACGGGGGAAAATTGTTGAACAGTGACCGAAGAGAAAATTTTCACCGTATAATCATTGATAGCGTTTTAAACATATCCGCCGTTTATTCTATTTTGATAAAAAAAAAACAATCGGCACAACAAGAATCTTTTTGTGCATGACGTAATGACCGTTTATATCCCACATGAAATTCAACACTTGTAACGATAGGAAGACAAACCCCAATTTGTTTTGTAGAGTCAAATCAAAGCAGAAACACAGAGGTTAGCAAACACCATCAAGGTTTTTCTAATTCTTTATATTTTATATTAGGTGATATTCAAAATAACACAAAAGGAGAAACTTAGGAAAAAAAGTTGATGTTGATCTTTTCAAATTGATCAATCTTCTTCACAGTTATCTAGAAGTTCCTCTAATGTCATTCGGCTTGATGGAATCATCAATGGTAAATTATCTAAAGATTATAAATATAAACAAAAGTGTCGAACATAATAAAACAAAAGAGAAATTACCTTCTACTATTCGTGCTGTTTCAGAACAACCAAGTTCTTTCAAACCATCAATTAGATATCTTAAATCCTTGTTGTTGATTGTACTTCGATACGAAAGAGCGTCCACTAAATTGAGGGTGCCGCCAGATGAAAAATTACCGTCACCAACAATGAACGCCAGACGTTTTCGTTCATCATTACTGAGACGATCTTGAAGATTGGCGAGAAAAACACGTAAACAATTACCGTCCATTCTAATTAGACCTGTAGGGAAAATGAAGAATAAATTGCGAGAAAAATATGTGTTTTTTATATAGAAGATCAGTTCAGAAGGTTTTTTTCCCTCATCAAGGCTTTTTCCCATATCAAGAATATACTATTTGCCATTTTTAGTAGTTCTTATCATCTGACATATTAGCATTCTTTTTGTTCTTGATATGCAAGTGCTAACGCGTACGTTTTGTCTCAGTCCGGAGCAATTCTCGAGAAGCAATAAATGAAAACGTTTTGCCCCACTTTTCTTGACAGAAATTATCACGGAATTACTGTGACAGGAGCTTTGAAGATTTACGGTCTGAGTAAGATAAAATAAAAGTCAGTCAAAACATCAATAAGAAAGTGTCATGTAGAATAGGCAAATGTACGAGATGCAGAATAAAAATCGTTCTTTTCATTTTATTAGACTTGTTGCCTAGTTCCAATGAAGGTCTGCAATTAACCATTGAGCAAATTGAATGAAATACAAAATCATGACTTTCTAACGACCTTTGAAACTTTCTCTCAAATTCATTCTTCGATTCATATTCTCAAAACTGGAAACTGTCAAGTAATTAATCAGTCGGCTACGTAAAAATATCCTTCTATCTCACACAACTGATTTACCAATCGCATTGAGCAATCGTTAATCAATTGAAATGAAAATGCTTTAACAACCTTATAGTATCAATCTTTTACCTCCTTTTTGATCAAACATTGGAAAACTCTCTGTATAAAGCATTTCGTACACGAAGCATCGCTTTTATTTGTAAATTTCAAGGACAATTTTTGAACAAAAAATAGTTGCCAACGATTCCAATCTACATATTTATGTCAATGTCGCATAGCGAACGGATCGCTCGCTCGTTCGTTTGTTCCGGGAAGTCGACGGAAAATTCCGACCGTTTATTGATATTTCAAGTTTTATTCTTTGTCGGGACAATTTTTTCAGTTGATTTTATTCAACAAGAAGATTCCTCAGCGTGGATCATTGAATTAACATAAGATTATGACAGATTACATAAACACAGTATAAATTAATATTTAGCAAACGTAATTATATAGTCTCATATAGTCGGTGGAGCTCTTGCCAACTTTATATGAGTACATTTGAAGATGCTTAATCTTGAACAAACTATTTTTTACAGGAGTTCCTGTTGGCAGCAGACCGGAAAACGTGATGTGTAAGGGCATTGACAATGCTTGAAGGATTAATTGTCAAATATTTTCAACACAAGATTGATATAGTGCAAGAGAACACGAAATTTCACATACGTACAGAATATGTTTTTGTTTTTATAAGAAATAAAAACAATTTCACGTTCTGCAAAATCTGATCTTTAGGGTGCCTCCAAAATGCATTCCACAATGTATTTATATGCAATCGGTGACAACTCTAACAGACTATAACAATATATAATTGTGTATGTTAAAAGATTTATATACACTGTCGATGTATTGTATATACTGTATGGCATTATTTCCATCCAGGGGACATGAGTTGATAATCATTTGACATAAAAGTAAAATATCTTCAAGGTCACGTGCTACATTTTAACTTCAATTAACCTCAGAAAGAACAGTAAAATCTACTAAAACTATTCAGATTCCTAATACAGAAAATTAGTGGTATTACTACCAGGCGTAGAAATAAACAACGACCTACACGTTCAAGTAATGAATGTATGTAATTGTTCAGTACAGTAAGAAACTGAAACTTAAGGACATTTTCGCGTCAATTACTTTGTAATCGACTTTATTTTCTACACGTCAAATTCATTAGTTAATTAGACGATTGCAGGCACATAGCAGCGATGACGAATCAGGCGTTATTTTAGCGAAATCTGTTGAAAGGTAGGTACGCATAAGTTCCAGAGTATATAAATGTATTCTTTCTTCTCTTTTTCACAGATATAAAATGATGTCCTCGGATAACAACCTGATCAAACTGTTCTCCTCAATTCTACAGAGTTTACACCAATATGGCGGACCCGTTTTAATGATTACAGGAACTATCAGTTCTATACTCAGCTTGTGTGTCTTTTCAAGAAGAAGTTTACGCAAAAATCCATGTACAATCTATCTCATAGGTACAAACATTGCCAGTCTTTTCTTAATCTACACGTCAAACTTAACTTTGACATTAACATATGGCTATTCGATCGATTTAACTAGATACAACTTATTTTTCTGTCGTTTCCGTGCTTATACGCTGTACGTTTTCGATGTCTTGTCCCCAAGCTATTTAATATTGGCTTCTATTGATCGAGTATTGATTACATCACGTAATCCTTTAACACGACGCAAAAGCACTGTTCGTCGTGCCTATACTTGTATCATGATTGTGACAATATTCTGGTTAATAGTTCACACTCATGCATTGATTCTTATGGAATTGAAAACATTCCCATCAGGTTCCATTGTTTGTGTTTTTTATTCCGATTTGTATTTATCAGTGATGAGTTATTATCCACTGGTCACAAAAGTCATTCTTATTCCTTCTATGTTAATCACTTTAGCTTTGTGGACAATACAGAATGTTGGAACAACATTGAGAGTGACTCATCCTGTTGCTGCACAAGTCTCCAGAGTAATACCAAGCAGGAATGTTACTAAGCCGAAATCAAAAGATCGACAACTTATTCGAATTTTACTGGTGAGCATCACGACCTACATTGTATTCAATATAATTCAATCTGCTATTCTCATATACCAAGAAGTTACGAAATTTTATACGAAAACATATTTGCAATCTCGAATCGAAGGATTTGTTCTTATTCTCAGTGCCACTGTCACATCGATACCTTTTTGTATCGAAGCTTACACCAATCTTATAGTCTCAAAAACCTTTCGGCAGGAAGTAAAAAATATCTTTACTTGCAAATAAGTCACTGGTATGACATTGTAGTGTGAGAAGCGGATTATTTTATTTGTCATTTTGTGACTTCATAAGAATTCATTGTCGTTGTCAACTGTAGTGTATTTGTTGTTCATTTCAATTTAAAATCTTGCTTTCTAACTCCCAAAATCGAATAATTAATCTGCGTGTTTTTCATGTTTATTTTTATCAGCAAGAAATGTGCTTCATCCTGTTCTAATCCACTGACATGAAATTCCGTTTATCTTATTCCATAAACCAAATGAACTGACATGTTCTTTGTATCCATAATCAGACAGGAATTCAATGTTTAGCTCTGAATAGAACAAATTGGACTGCATGACTCTCAACTAAATATCCAATGAGTGCAGTAGAGAAAGAACGGTGCATTACATACATGATGATGTTCTATTGGAGTATTGAAAAACGATACGAACCAACTTCAAAGCTAAACCGAAAAATTCTCATTGTCGATGATAATCAGTGCGGTAGAAAATATTTTTCTATTCATTTTATCGTTGTTTACGTTTGCTGCTGTTATATATAAATCTGCTTTAGTTCGTGTTGTCGCTGGCCAACTATGGTCTGATAATAATATGACAGTCTGCGAAGAACCGACTATCGCAAAGTTCGATTTTCACGCAAAAACAACAGCTTAAACTCAATCAAGTAATTTTCGTTTTTCCCAGTGCGATATAAATCTATACAATACAGTCGGAACAGAAGAGTTCGATTGATTACGACCGCTCTCTTATTTTGATGTTAATTCCATTATTATGTGTCTTGCCATCGATGACCCCAACAGTATTGTTGAAGTCAATTGACAGTTTTGAGTAAATTTCTTTCTACACAAACTTGGATGTGCTCACTGATGTCCCCATGTGCCTACAATTCTCGTTGATGAAACATGCCATTGATGCTGAAAATACCGAGTACAAGCTGATTTTCTTAGCAAATAAGACAATGAATGAATAAATGGCTCGTCGTAAGTATGATTTCAAATTGACTAGAGCAATAGGTGCTGTGCATTATGCAGAATGTTCGGCATCGACAAGAGAAGGTGTCGATATTATTTTTCTAATTTACTTAGATATTGAGGAACTTTCAAAATGTGCAGGTTGTTCCGTGAAAGAGAGAAAGAATGGTAAGTGATCTGTCTGTGTCAATGAGTCAGTAAGAAACTAATATACAAAAAAATACAGTTGTTGAATTTTTTCTGACTGTCCAGTTGAACTCAGAAGTCGAATTAAAGTTCATTGTGTTCCTGTTGATTCTTCGAAATAAGTCGAACGATATCAAGGATCTGTTTCTTCGATGTATTTTCTCGAGCGTCAATGGCCAATTGCTGAACATCCTTTGCTCTTTTCGCATAACTACCATTAAGTAACATATGTTGAATATCATCTGTAAGATTGTACGAAACTTGACGACCGACACCCATATCGACGACTTGCAGTGCATTATCAAATTGATCAGCAAAGAAAGGCCATACCAGCAGTGCTTTTCCATATAGCATGCTTTCTAAAAGAGAATTCCATCCGCCATGTGAGAAGAAAAATGCCACGGAACTATGCGATAATATCGCGCGCTGCGGCGCCCAATCAACAATAAGTTGATGAACAGAATCAAGGTTATGTAATGATGGCGGAAGCGCTGATTTCGTTTTTAACGACCAAATAAATGCATGATGTTTCAGTGCACAAGCAACACTATCAATAGCATTTGCCGGTAAATTCGCAATTGAACCGAAAGCGATATAAATAACAGAACCAGTTGACTGTTTATCAAGCCAATCAATGATATTTCGCGTTTGCGACGTCATCGTTGCTTGTTTATTATCAAAAACTAGCGGACCAATGAAACGAATAGGTGCTAAGGTTCCCGATGATTGATAAAATTCGTCAACGTATTCGCCATCGAACTCTTTTAAAGAATTACAAAGAAAACCATTTGCTTGATGAATATTTTCTCGTATGTAATCGTAAGCTTCTTTAAATTGGCCAGTTTTATCCGTATGCTGCCTGCGCATGTAACTAACTACACCGCGAAGATTACTGGGCAGAAATAAATGAATCGGTATGGATGTATTCAAGAACGACAATGGTACAAATGAACGAGCGATAATCATATCAATTGGTAAACGAACAGATGATTGAAGATCTGTTTGAAATAGATGATGCAATGCTTGGCCCATCCGAACTAAAACCTCATTAAATAATATTCTTTGATGATCGTCAAAAGCGATCTAAAAATTTCGATTTAGAAAAGGCTAGGTTCGGAATAGGTCAAAACGTACTTGTGCAGTGTTATTCGAATTAATTTGAGATTCTTCGATCATTAAGCCCGGAAGATGATTGTTGCCATCGACTAAGCCGACAATATCAAGTGTTTTGCTGCTGTTCAAATGCGAAATGAATTCTTTGCGTTCAAGTTCACTAATCGAATTTATTGATGTAAGATACGTAACATGACAATAAGATGATAACTGTTTTGCCAGTTCTAACGAAGCTATGGATACACACAAATACCAATCGAGAATTCACCTTTGTAAACTACAACTACGTACGAATCATATGGCTTAAAAACGGTGGAGCGATAACCAGAATGTGAGTAGCATTCGCTGTTGATAGCAAACCGCAAATCAGAGTGATAAATATAGATGAGCCGAACATAATTGCTATGATTGTATGTGCCCTTGTTCAGTCGTATTTATATTTACGCACAGACAGCGAGAAGAGAAAGGAACGAAAGATGTTCGTGAACGTACTTTTCATTTATGTACTTGACCCCATCGTTACAATAGACAGAGCGGACGAAAAGTTATATATGAAGATGAATGAAAGAATATTTATCGAAATCGATAAGCGAGTCCTTTTTATACAGTTAGTATTTTATTGACAAAAAATAAATCACTAATGGGATTCATGTATGAACGACAGTGATATATTGAAAATAGTTGGTATTCTTCAAATTGTCACGGCTACTCCGTATTGTACGAAAGAAATTTGCAATCCTCTTTATTGTATTAACTACCGACACAGTTTCTTAATACGCGTTTTTATAGGATTATTAAGATAAGATACCTACCTTTGGAGTTTGGTCGATTGGTGTCGTCCTTATATTGGGATAGATTAAAAAATCCACTCTGTTCATATGCTTTCGATGAGAAGTAGACTCTAGCTTTTGTTCATTTGCATTGTACAAGTAGTCACAGAAAATATGCGTTCATTTCGTATTTTTTAAATGAAAGGTAGACAGTTTTAATGTGTCAATACAACACTTTTACTATATGCTACCTTGATTACGGCGATTGATTTCAAATATCGGATAATGATTGTGATACATCAAAAACATGCATGGTTTCGGAATTCATGTCAGTCATCATTTGAGATGCTATTTTTAAGAAGGATATATGTTAGATATCTGACCTTTCTTTACAAGTACTATTGCTTAATCGTATATGATCGATCATTCAGTTCTATACCTACCATATTGAGTACTATTTGCCTTTAGTTTTTAGTTGTGCAGATGGAGAGTAAGAGTGACTGATGAAAACCCTCATCGAAAAGAAAACAAATCCATGTGGTTCTTTTTCATATAAATGATGTCAGTAGTTATGAATCATCATTCCTTTCTAATAATGGAAGAATATGTGCACAAAATACAGCCATTTGTCATTATTGCACAACACACGACACGTCATCATAATTTTTTTTTCTGTCGTCCTATTCTTGTTTTCCATAGCTACATTGAGAAATAAGATTCAATGGTGCACAATGAATCTGAACGCGAACAATTTCTTCGGAACGATCAAGTCAAGCAATGTCGAATATGTTTAGATACTGATAATACTGATAGTTTAATTAGCCCATGTTTATGCAGTGGCAGTGCGGCCTTCGTTCATCGGACATGTTTAGATAATTGGCGATCGGAAAATATCCGTGGAATTGGATTTAACTATTGTGATATTTGTAAATTTGAATATGTGATTGAAACAGTCGATAATGACTTAAAAGCTGAAAAGATAAGACGTTTAAAGTATTATTTCTTTGTTACTCGCGATATAACATCAATTTTCTTGTTAACTCAACTAATTATTCTTGCTTTAACATTCTTATTGAAATTGATTGATAAGAATAGTGGAGATATTAAGCATCAATTTCCAAGTTGGATGAGTGAATTTGCGATGTACTACTTAACTTCGTTTGTTTTATTATTAGTATTAATTGGTTTCATTGCATTCATAATTAGTTGCTGGTCCCTTGGTCGTATTGATCGTTGTATTCCAAACGGTTTTGGTCTCAATAGTGGGAAAGGACTACTTACCTGTCTTATAATCTTTGTAGTAATTTACGCCATGATTGGAGTGCTCGTCGGGGTGTTTTATAGTATTGTCATTCTCCAGAAAATCATGGAACACCATACAAGAAAGTTATGGCTAAGACAAGAAGCAAACAAATATATTGTTAAAGATTTTCAAGGACGAAGATCAGAATTAGAAAAGTATAGAACGCCAATGGCAGCATCTGCAATACCATAGAATACTTTATTTTGAGTGTTTGATCTGAGATAAAACGATGTATTATCTGTTACTGTCTTCTTTAATAAATAAATATACACAATCGAGTTTCATGTGTAATTAAATCACTGATAAAGCATATGCCATCGTATAAGTTGAAGTAAATGTGAAAATATGATGGGTGATTCATAGTTGAGACTTTTCTACGTTGGAAGTTTAGGTTGTACATCTCATGATGCGTGATGATAGAATCATACATCTTTCAACTTAAAGAACGGATATGTCTTAAAGTGTGCAATAATCCAGCATGATTAGATTGAATTATCTTCCTGTATGTGGTACTTTCACTGTGCAATTTATATCGTTTTGCTAAAACAACTCATTCTCCAACGTTTCGAACAAATCTATGTATTTTGAGCTCACACCAAATAACGTGTATGCAAAATTTTTCCGTAGTTGATAAAAACCATTAGGGATAAGAGGCAAACCTCATGAGCAAATATTTTGGTTTGCCGAGTGATCGGTAGGTATTCACAAAGAAGGATTTGAAGTTGTAAATCTGCAAGAGCGTTGTCATCATAGTGAGAAAATATGAACAGAATTTAGCGATAGCAGAGTACAATTTTATTCACTTCCTTGTTTGCTTTTTATAAATCTCTTGTCATGGAATCGACTATACGTGAATTTGAAAGTAGTTTCTTATCTTCAATATATGCATATAGTTCGATGTAGTGTTTTTGCAAATAACTTTATCAGCTTACAATGGTAACCGATTGAAAGTGTCTGTTAATAACACTATGTCTCGTCTATAAAATGTTTCTTTATTGTTACCGGCTTTGTCTTTCTTCTTCGAAAGGCAAATAATAGTTGATATGCTTCTTCTCGACATTCTTGATAATAAAAAGTCAAATAAATAGAACGAATAAAATCTTTTATCACAACTCGACATTTCTGTGGTTCGCTGTTTTCGCGAAACATGATCTTTTATTAAAAATTTACATACTGTATATCGCTCATAGGATTGTTAGACTTTTCTGTTGAAATTTAGGTTGAAAGATTGAACTATGGACAAATCAGCAGAGAAACGATTGAAGAAAATTTATCGACTTAGTGACGATATCGACGATTCACGGGCACGTCTTCTCGCAATAAAGTATAGCCAAGAGAAAAGTGGTCTGACGAGTGAAAGAACACGCAAGAGTTATATGGAAGATTTGGAAACACATATCGACAAATTAACATTGAAACGGCAGGACGAAATAATGAGGCATTACTCTAACGTTAGGGTAACTAGAAAATCATCTCCATCACCACCTCCACCACCACCACCATTGCGTGTGCCTTCACCCTCATCAACAACTCCACGACCGGCACCTACACCTATTTTATCATTATCACATCGATCACCATCGATACCTCGAGCACCATCTCGGTCGCCATCTATCTCACCGCCTCGAACACCATCCCCGTCGCCACAACCAGAACCAACGCCAGTGCCATCTGCAAGTTCTCCTGGTAAATAGTAAAAGTCTGTTATTTCCTATTGGGACCAGCGCGAGTTGATTATAATTATTCTATTCGATTAATATATCGATTGTTTGATTGTATTTAGATATGCGGTCAGAACATGCAAATGATCAACCACCTGAAAAACCCAACATATGGTCCACGGAGCCAATATCAGCCGACGAAAAGGCTCATTATCATAAATGCAAGCAATACTACGATATTCTAGGACAGCCGCTCGTGTCTGTTTCCGAGAAGATATTTTACGATGATTTTGAACTCTTAACTGCATCGCTGGTATGCGTCGTCGATCAAGACGCTAGTGATTTTGATCCGGAAACTTTTTTGACCAACATCGCCAATATCTTAAACATTGATGATATCACTATAAGCAAGATACAAAGTGGATGTGTTAAAGTTGTATTTGATATTTTCAAGCAAGTGGATGGTGTAAAGAAAAAAATTGAAGTTAAAGCCCTCTATAGTTCAATGACGGATAAAACACTTCAATCATTAGGTTTATTAAAAGTTTTGTTCATGTTTATGGGTGACATGGAAACATATGATGATTCTATCAAGTTTCGCTCGCAGATTACATTGCATCCCGAATTTAATCGTATCTATGATGTAAACCATTCATACTGGACTGGTTCTGCTCCTGATGAATTAGATCGAGGACCTCATCCTTATTACTGTCCACTCGGATGGCAAAGATTTTCGTTCTACGTCGCTGACAAATTTTACGAAAAATTTAAAGGATGGTCTGTATGTTACCATGGAACAAGGTTCGCCTACGGCCTATCGATATTACTCAGCGGTTTGAAACCAGCAATCGATACAGCACATGGTGACGGTATATACGCCAGTCCATCAATTATCTATACAGCTCATCCAAGGTACTCTGAGATTAAAAAAATCGAATCAGAGACTGAGAGTACATTTTTCAAGGGTGGTAAATATGTTCAGTTTGTTTTACAATGCCGTGTACATCCGGATAACATAAAAAAGATTGGCCAAGAAACGATTAAAACTTATGATACAGTCATCGATCCTAACTTCGATAATGCCGTCATCGAATGGCTTATCGATGCGCAAGACAAACCCATCATGGATTTTAATGATCCCAACTCCACTATTGTTTGTACAGGTCTCATGGTACGTGTTACAGACAATCATCCAGGAGTATTGCCTGATTCACAATGGTGGTACCACACGTTTTTAACTGAACATCCGCAAATGCTACAAAGCATTCAGTTGCATGAACTTCAAGAGAAAATCGAAAACGAAGAGACATGTAATATAATTTTTAGCTAAACAAAGATTAGATTTGAACCATCTTTTTTTTCAATCTTAATAAAAATGTTATGTAGATGTCATACTCATGTCATCAGAATTTATTATGATTAAATAGAAAGAGCATTATGATCTTATACGCCTTTTCAATTACGGATTAAATAGTTGTTTTTGGAAAACCAGTCTCATGATGCTTTGTGAATGTAACAGGTCGTGCATTGATTTGAGTTACTCGATTTTGTCGTCGAATGTATTTAAACCAGAACGTGTTGACGATTTGCTGGAAATCATGTCGAAATGATTTTGACGACAGGATAAACAAGTAAAACGGAGCAATGAATATTCCCTGATTGATGAACTGACCCAAGAAGTTCATAAAAGCATCGATTTCTATGCGTTCTGCGCTTTTATTCATCAGAGAAATTGTTGCTGCAGTATAAATCAGATTCGCTGAAAGTGGAATAGACGCAATAATATTTATTAAAATCTCAGCCACTATCATGCGCATCAAATCACGATCCCTTCGTCTCACACTGGTCAAAGCGGTTCCTCGTTGATGAATAGTGCGAACGGCAAGGATGCCGAATATGCCCATCAATACGGATGGCAAAAGAGAGACCAGTACTAACTGATAGATGCCGAAAAAGTATCTATAGGAATCGAACAATCCACAAGTACTACCACGTAGATCCATGAAAATGGGAAAATGAGACGCAACGGTAGGGCACGCTACGCATACGGTTGCTGTGAGTAGGTATGCTATTTTAGTGGAACTCCATAAACGAATTCGAACATTTGAGCGCGTAAGAAAGAAGACATCGATACAGGCAAGAACAATAAGATAACGGGTGTAGAGACCGAGCACATGGCTAATGTAGATACGCATCTTGCAGTAAACTAATGATTTGGTTTGTGGATCGACGTGATCGAGAGTATAAAAAATGAGTGGAACTGACCAAAGAAGATACACATTGGTAGAAATGGATAATGCAAAAAAATAGATCGAACAAGCGGTGCGAGGATTAGAATTCTTGAAGAAAACTATGCTACAGCATAGATTGCCAAGGAGACCCATGGTAAAACTAGTACTCATAATATATCGATTTAGAATTTGTTGCACAGAGGGTAAAATCGTCGCAGGCATCGTAAGAGTAGATTTGAGTATTAATAAAAAATAATTTGAAAATTTTTCAGATGAAATTCTATATATATTGCCTATGACACATCATTCAAATTGATTATGTAGGTGTAAGAGTATAGGGAAGCTGGGCTAGAAATAAAAAGCTGTTTTTCTAGTTTCTATCTTTCATTCACATCAGCATAAGACATGTTGAAAGTATTTTTTATCTCGAGCATTTTTGACATCGTGCAAAGCCGTTGATATGTCAAAAAAATGGCTTTTAGTTGATTTTTGAAACACGCTATTCTATTCGGGAGAAGTACTCATCTCAATAATGAAATAAACTGATATGAGTAGTGTACATGTGTTTTCTGTTGACTATTGAACTGCCAATGGAATTACATGCTGTCGTTACAGGCACTATCATTTTCTAGAGATGTTGCTACTAGTATATTTTTACTTTCTTTTATAGAAGAAAAAGATTGAAGTTAGCCTTTCTTTTATATGTTATGCTATTTCGAAAGGAAAGGCGTTCGTTCTTAATCATGTACCAGTCGTTTCCTGGTCAGTTGCTGCATTCACTCGGTTTGGACGGAAATAATGCCGGATTAACCGATAGATAATTTCAACTAATTCCATCAATGAAAGAAAGCTGACACCGATCCATAAGCCTGTTTGTCCGCCGATATTGGAAAACAGATCCACTGGAGCAAGTGTTGCTGACTCGCTATTCATTTCTACAATGCCTGTTCGACGCACTACATCAACGCGAAGATAATTGTTATAAATCTGTTCACGCCATATACTTGACCAGTTAGTAGGCAGCGGAACAGTTGAATTTTCGACGAATAACTTTATATCATTCATTTGAGATTCAATCGGCGCAACCGAAGATGATGTCTGAACAGCAAAGTCCGTTTTTTCACACTGAGTTTGACAGTCTGCACAATACTGATTCATAAGCGATGGTGAAGCAGAGAATACACTGATAGCGTCACGATAACAAGTATCATTTCCACTGCAAAGAGTTGTATATATGATTTTATTCGTTTCGGGCAACATGATCGAACGAGCATTCCATTTATACGGATTGACACAGCCACACTGATCAAACCTATGTACGAATTCATCATGTACGGATGCAATGATTAATTATACTCACACATATGCTTGTTCACAAAGTTGGTAACAAATAACTTCTGAATATCCGTAATCAGCACCGTTATATTTATCCAGCATCAGTTGCATCAGAGAAGATACTTCATCTTTACAGTTAGAATATGGTGCAGGCAGGAAGCGGACTGTCTTCTCACTATAACTTAGTCGATGTTTTCGCCCCGCTGCTAGCTCTACACCAGCTGCTTCAATTAGCGGTAATTGTGTATTTCCATGTATTAGACCAATGAGACCGACAGCTGAAATCAGAATATTATAACAAAATAATTTGATCTGGCACAAATTGTCTTCGTATACTCACAATCAGTCATTTGAGGAACGTATTGGTGACTATGTAAATATATCCCCAAAGAGAGTATTCCATCACCACCATACTGTCCAGCTAAGCGTACGGTACTGTTTGAGCTATTCTTCATCTTGGCATTGAATGTATAACAAAATCCGTATAGTGATGATGTAAATAGAACAAAATCTGATAGTGAGCATGGACGATTGTTAAATGAACAAGATTGAAGCATGACCGGCAATGAAAACAAAAATGACTCGATTGATTGGTTCCTGTTCATTCGATCGACCATGAAATCATAAATAAAAGCAACACTGAATTGATTGATATCTGCTGTTCCATTTACATTTGTCCCGTTAGACATATTACTATAGTTAAGCAACAAACCGATGATTTCATCGGATCGAACGGGTGATAGATTGCAAAGGCTGAATGCTGGAAAATAGTTCGGCCATTTGTTCACGTAGCTAATATCTATTTTAGTTGGATATTCAAAGTAAGCTAAGATCGATCGAACGATAAAATAGATCATGATAGCAGTAAAACAGGTAAAAGAAATCAACCAGAAGAAGCGACTGAGAATATCGGTTGAACGAGCAACTCGTGACAGACCATACGCAGATGTATTCAAACACGATTCATGAATTATGGAGCGACGACGAGGACGACGCTGACCGATGGGGTTTTGTTTTTGGTCCATTGATTTCGAATACGATGTGTGAACGTTTGCTTTTCTTGTTTCAAGTCTTCTTTAATAAGAAGAGTGAGGATGTAAACACTCTTCTCCTATTCGAAGGGTAAACATCGTTTTCCGAGAGGTATCGTTTGCCGTTAAAAGACAAATTTACTTCTCGGCGATGTCGTGTCCGTAGTTTTCAATATGCATTTTTCATGAGGTGTATATTCTTGAAAGAGAAAGTGCAACTGACAGTCAAACTCCCAAACTCCATACTCTCTCCTTTTCTTTTATCGTTATGATTATTCAACCATAGCTCGTTTCTTTCCGTAAATGATAAATATATTTCGCCTATGCGTTATAGATAGTGCACTGATGAGAAACCAAGATTTTACATGAGTCATCTCTCTCTCTCTCTCTCTCTCTGTATGTGAGCAGAAAACATTTGTGATTCAGGAAATGAAGAATTTCAAAAGAAGAACATAATCAAGTCACTTTTTAATCGAAGGCCAATCTATATTCATACGGTAAGAAGGATATTGCACAAAACAATTAATAGCATTTGACTCTGTCAATGCCTAGGACAATAGCGTGTCATTTCTGCAACAGTACATAACGTTTCACAGCATGCTTCAGTAAGTAATTTTCGTCGTATTGATCGTCGAACACGTTTCGTAGCTGGTAGTGAACGTACATCTCTTCGAAGAATATCACAAGCAATACTGACCATTTGTAAGAGATAAACTCCACACGCATGATACGCCCGATGGATTCCGCAGTCTTCGATTTTGTAAAGCTTTTTTTTCATTTCAATAGTTTGGCCTTCTGTTAGCAAATTTCCATTGTATTCGACGGTGCAATTATCATGAACTACTGGCACACTTGTCTCACTTGTCTCACTTGACTCACAGTAGACACCTTGATAGTACAGAACCAGTATGAACAAGATATATTGGACATAGGACAGCATCGCCATGGCCAATAATGAGAATTTAGTGATCGGCTAAAAACAGAAATAATGTTTTTGTGAAAAGTAACCGCTTAAGACGAAAATGCTTCTTCGTTTTGTCTTAGCTACAATTTACTTACCTAGAAAAGGGCTGGTGTATTTTTATGTAGCATAATGAACATACTTGCATATATATATATATCGATAACGACTTGACTCAGGCAGTGTTAGATATAGAATACTCAGTCCTAGTTCTGTGTGCTTAATAAATCATAGGTTAATAGTCAGGAACCTCTACGGGAAATGAAACCGGAAAATACGATTTTAAAATCATAAACAAGTAACATAGAATCTTTTCCTTTCTTTTCCTGAACTTGCGGCGCTGTATCGATTCATATGTGACTTTTGAAACGATATCTAGCTTAGTTTTTTTCTGTGTTCTTCAAGTCACAAAACATTCCATAATCAGCGTATGGTTAATGAATCATGTCGAGCTAAAACCATATTTTTGCATTTCCTCTAGGCTACATGAAATGATACTGTTCCATATGTGACTTACAACCTATATCAGCTCTTAGGCTTATCTTGTACTCACAATATTTCCCTTTTCTATTTCGTATGATAGTATGCTATGATATCAAGATGATGCCTTAGTTTGCCATCTGCTGACTATGACTGATGAGGACAATCGCTTTTAGATCATGTCTAAAAGCTATTTCACATTCATGAACAGCGATCTTTAATGACTTGTAGCCAAAAAAATTAAAGTCATCTTCGCTTTTTATTCTCGCCAAAGCGCTATTCGTCTCGATGAAAAACGAATGCGGATTGTTGTTTTAGTCAGCTACGAAGCATGATTCATCACACGTGACATTCTGATTTTATTTCTAACGGCGTTTGTTTTTATTCCTTTTTACAATATGTCGTTCTGTTTGTTGGATCGTTTTCCTGTCGAATTAATTCATCAGATCTTTGCTTATCTATCAGCACATGAAATAGTCTATGCATTTTCAGGTACCACTGAATATCTCAATGGAATAGTGGCGACTTATGATCGATACGTAGTTGCTTTTCATGCTATTACCAAATGTCAATTTGATATGACATGTCGTTGTTTACGGCCTGAACAAATTCTTTCCCTCACATTCTCTGATGATGATGAAGCATCAAAGCAATCCGAAATTTTCTTTTCCTACTTCAACATCGAACAATTTACTCATCTTCGTTCGTTCAACATGGAATCTATCAACAGTGACACATGCAACAAACTAACCCAACTACACCAGCTCCAACAGCTAACAACGATTAGCCTATCTCATGTATTCCAGAGAGTATGTCCAGAATTTAGTACAAGCATCCAAAAACTACTTCCACAATTGAATCAACTAGCAGTGTACAATGTATATTGCCTTTTGAACGACCCGTTACCAAATCTACACCATTTAGCTTTGCGATATTGTGATTGTCGGCATTTAGTAACTATACTCACACTGATGCCTAACCTTCGAACATTTGATGTTATATTGACATGTGGTGTTCGTTCACATTGGCCGATTGAACTTCCACTGTTACTTTATTTGAAAAAATTCACACTTCGAACTGAAGGTAAATAGATAAAGCCGACTATATGGAATCGGATTGAAACTGTTTTTGTATTGTAGGCGAATATTTAACTTTGAGTCAAGTAGAAAAATTCTTATCCAAAACACCCAATTTGAAACATTTCGAATTGGAGACGGAAGGACTCAAGGAACTTTTCGATGGTGAACGATGGGAACCGATTGTTTCTGGTCTTTCGAGATTTGATTTTCGAATCCATTGTAGTGACACTTCGAATAACATTTTTGAACGCGAACATGTCCTTCAATCTTTTCGTTCATTATTTTGGCTTGAACAGAAACGTTGGTTCGTAGCTTATTACACTCCAAACGCGCGAGAGATTTTCACAGTTCCTCGGTTTTTATCAACGATCGGCAATTATCCGTCTGTGAATTGGCCCCCACAATGTACACTACCTGACTTTCCTTTTGCCAAACATATTACACATCTACAGTGTTCAGCACTTTATCCTCTGATTGCTGATCAATTTCCAAACATAACGTCACTTACGATACATACAAATCGAACGCTTGACGGCCAGACATTGGTTCAAGTTATTGAGCAGATGAAATTTTTATATTCAATTTCAATTGTAGACCTTTCAATCGTAAATCACATACCGATCAATGTAGTCTTCGAGAAGATTCGAAGTTTATCAGTACAAGAATTCAGTACAAGTGATAGTGATCAAACAATACATGATCTCGATCGAGTATGTTTTACTTTTCCTCGACTAGAACGCTTGAACATGAAATTACTCTCTCATATTCATTTGTTTCGACTAATTGATCAATTAAAATATCTATCAATTGCAAAATTTGAACTCCATCAATCATCATCTGAATCTCCTACCATGCAGCGTAACTGGTTAATAAATAATTGCCGACGTTTCCAAACAACGGACAATTTCACATTCAGATATGTCAATGATACTATTTATTTATGGATGGCCACGGAGAACGCAAACAATCTCGGTGCATTAACACTGACCGACACCGAACCGTTGTCTACTTGGTATTCACGCTTGTCATGTGTTCTACAGTAGGTCTAGCTTTGAAGATAAAATCTACAAGGCCGGAAAATACGCCATCTATTACTTTACTCGCACTTTTTTCTATTGATTATGTTCGTTAACGCTGATTATGCTCTTTTGTTTCTTTTGTACGAAGAATAAATGTGATCGGACCCAATTCGACTCACAACCTTTGAAAAAACAAATGCTCCCATTATTTCCGGTATGATTGATGGTATATAATGTCAAGTCTGTGCCATCTAATATTATCGCTGACTATGGCTCTATTCACGGTCAAAACGTAATCCATGTGATGAGAAAATTCTTCAAAATAACCAATCGATCTATGTCATTCACGACGACTATAAACTCTCTTCTTCGCGTAAGAATATGTGAGATTGAAAAATTATATTAAATCGAAATAAAACATGAAATATTTTTACTTTTTGTCTATTTCTCCATTTAGGTGATGAAAATCATTTTGTTTTCACCAATGAATAGTTTATGAGAACGTGCGAGTTGGTCTCATTTCTTCTCTCACAACATTCCCATTCGTTGCTTCAAACGCACAAGCACATGTAACTTATGATCGAACTTTTATATATTTGTTTCATTTCAACTTACGAATGAGTTTCGTGAACAACAAAATGAAATAGAATCATCTAACTTTTTCGCATCATTGATTGTATTCATATAATAAACAGGTTGTGATTTTTCGCTTGACTACATTAGTTGTTGCCAATAGAATTGTTTGCTAGAGATGTGAATCTCACCAGCACTTTCACTCATTCTCGAAATGAATTCGAATGAATAAAAGTGCGAGAATTTTATTTTTAAAGCACATTAGAAAATGGTATTGTCTTTCTTCGTTTTCTCTCGCATCTGAAAATTTATGATTGAAAGTAAATACAAGTATTTGCTTATGTGCATTTTTCACTTCAATACTCAACTTGGTAAAAAATGAATCGTAAATCAACGACTATTAAAAGTGTTCGACAAATACCTGCAAACAATGCACAGCGTCATACGACTGCAGATGAAAAACCAAGAAGCAAACGTCCAGTTATTCGAGAGACACTTAGTGAATCGTATCGTTTAGTTTGGCTAGCTGAAGATGAAACGAGTAATATAATCCCAGTAGCAAACGTTCGAAGTGTTGCCAATGATTTTAAACACTTTCAAAATGCTAAAGAATGCATCGAATATTTAAAACAATCTGAAAATACGATATTCCTTGTTTGTTCAGAGAAATTCGGACCATTGATTGTTCCAGAAGTTTATCAATTGAAACATATTTGGTCTATTCACATTTATAATAATGATATACAAAATAACCCGCACTTTGTTCACTCGTATAGTCAAGTAAATCGAAGTAGATTTAAGAAATAGAGTTATACTGTTTGTTTTCTCTTATAGGTTAAAATTATTTTCGCTAAAACCAGTCACTTGTTAGAATCTTTAACAAAAGACGTTCAACAGTATTTAAAACAGGAGAAATTTGCAGCAGTCATGGGCACAGAAAGTCAGGGTAATACAGCGGAATGGTGTGATGATTGGTGGTTACGTTACATTCATCTTCTTTGTTATCTTCCTTATCCAGAAGATTATCGACTTCAAATTATTCCTTTATTGAGAGATTACTACGACGGAGTATCATCAAAATTGGCTACTGTCGATGAATTGGAAAAGAATTACAAATCCGAGAATGTTATTTGGTGGTATACACGCGCAACATTCTTCTGTGAACTGTTAAACAGAGCATGTCGGCAGCATAACATTGAATTATCGTTCCTATTCGGACCATACGTTCAAGATATTTATCAGCAATTAAAGAAGGAAAGTGATGCTTTTAAAGAAAAACGATCCTCGGAAACGCCTAAAATGCATGTTTACCGTGGACAAGTGATGCCAACGTATGAATTCAACCATCACATAGCTAGTAATGTGATGAATAATTCTCTATTATCAACAAGTCTTAATCGTAAGAAAGCATTGGAATTTATTAGTTTAGGAACTATGAAAGATGATTACATTCGAGCTTTATTTGAAATTGAAATTGATTTGAACGAAATTACACGTCCTTATGCGTTGATTTCACACCTGAGTGAAATTCCATATGAAGAAGAAGTTTTATTTATGATCGGAACTGATTTTCGAGTTCAACCAGATTCCTTAGAGTACAACGATGAAGATAAAGTCTGGGTGAAGAAACTCCGTTTATACAATTATCATAAAATCAATGACATAAATAAGTTTGATACAACCATCACAGAAAGAAGACTTAAAGATTGCGTAAATGATTTATTTGATGAAAACCAAATGAGTAAGCCAATGTTTGATGATGCAATGATCATTTTCGAGAAATTAAATGAAATTTGTCCAGCAAAAAAATGGATAAAAGCAATAAAACATCGCTATATAGCGGTAAAACCGCATTAGACACGATCCATCAGCAGCTATAAAAAACTACAATGACGCTTTAAAATTCTGGTCAGAATATGTTACGGATAGTGAGATGAACTGTTTCCGTGACATCGCAAAGATCTATTGCAATCTCGGGGAGTGCTATCATACACATAAGAAAGACGTGAAAACAGCTCTCATAAATTACAGATTAGCAATTACAAATTATCAATTAGCGATTCCGCTCGCAAGAGATGACTATGAAAAAACATCATTATTGGAACAATTAACTGATGTTTATAGTTTAAAGATGGATATTAAAACAAATGAAAACGAAAGTAAACAAGATTATGCTGAATTTATCAAATGTAAACAACTATCTGGTGAAAATATGTTGAAATACACATCATTGAACGATTCATCGTTTCGCGATCGTTTAATGGAACCTGGTTGGATTTATGCATCAAATCGTAAATATGATGAAGCTTTGAATATATATGAACATGTGATAGACATCTACCTAAAAGAATCGGAATTAGATTATGATTGGATTATTCGAAAGGTTTCTGACGTAATTGAGATTTATACCGAGCGAAAAAATGATTATAATTCAGCATTAAAATATCAATTGATCAAACATGAATGTACATTAAAACAAAATCAAGCAAATTTGACTGATAGTTATGACAAATCACAGCGGAAAAAGCGTTATATTGCTGATGAACAAGTCGAATTAGCAGATTTATACACAAAATTGCATTGCTATAAAGAAGCACATGAACTCTATGATGCAGCACTGAAATTACGACAAGAATTATCAGATAGGTTCGTTCGTCATGAAGAGATACAAGACATTCAAGAGAAAATTGAATCCATTCGAAACAACATAGAATCGTAAGATTGAATATATGTGTGCGGAGCGATTGTAATGTTTCTATTCCTCGATGCTACACCAATAACAAACATATCGTTCGTTGTCTTTTTCTTTAAATAAACACATGGACATCATCGATACACTTTTCTACTTCTTTCTTCTACCACATCGACTGACACGTGCATAGTCAAGTGCATGTCCATCGAGATAAAGCATAACTCTCTGTCAATATTAGACTGATTTGTTTCTAAGTGAAAGTGAAATCCAATGTTGATTATAATTACAAGGTGAACTTCAATAACTAATCAATCAAGTTTCATATAAGAATGAATATAATCGTTGTCGGTGGAAGTCTGGCGGGTTTATTCGTTGGATTGTCTCTCAAACGGCTTGGTCACCATGTTCACATTTTAGAACGTAATTCTCTACCTCTTTTTCAAGGTAATGGAGCAGGTATTTTCGCTGGCGAAGAAACTCGTTTATTTATAAAAAAATTCGATAGATCGAAACGAGATCTTACCATACCAACAACTCTCCTACGTTATCTCGATGTTCATGGTAACGAAATACATCGGGAAAATATAGATCATCAAGCGACTAGTTGGGATTTACTATATCATATTTTACGTGCCAACTTCGATGGAATCAAGAGCGCGTACTGTCAATTACCGGACGACACGGGTGGAAATACAGGCTATGATTATGATGCAAACGTAACGGACATCGAAGTCGATGATGATTCAGTAACAATCTTTTATGAGCAGAAAAATGAAAAGCAGTCGATAAAAGGTGATATTTTAATCGCAGCCGACGGAGCATCAAGTCGTATTCGAACGTTAATCGATCCGAATATAGAACGAAATTATGTTGATTACGTTGTTTGGCGAGGAACAGTTCCTGAATCAGATATATCCGAATCACTTACATCAACATTCATCGGTGGTGTTACTTTTTTCCACGCACCCGAAATTCAATTTGCTTGCTATACTATCCCGGGTCAAAATGGCGCATTAGATCAAGGACGTCGATTAATTAATTGGGTTTGGTATTGCAATCACGCAGATCCGTCCGAAATTCTTACTGATTGTCATGGAAGAAAACATCATTGGACAGTGCCCCGCGGTAAAGTTGCCCACAAAGTATGGAAAGATTTGAAACAATATGCGAATAGCAATCTTCCACCTCAATTTATCGAACTAGTAAATGCGACACAATTACCGTTTGTTCAAGCCGTTAGTGATATTCTGGCGACGCAAGCGTGTTACTACAATGGCAGGGTAGTACTTGTCGGTGATGCATTAGCTGGATTTCGACCACACACCGCTAGCGCTACGAGTCAAGCTGCTTTTCACGGCTTACAATTATGGGAGAAAATGCAAAGTTGGTCTGATTGGTTGAAGAATAGAAGTTCATACGAAGACATCGTCATGAAATTCGCTAGACAAGGTGTTGAACATGGACAAAAATTAGGTCACGCATCTCAATTTGAAGAGTATAAAGTCGGTGGCAAGATTAAGATGGGCTACATGGCTGCAAATGAGGATCGATCAGTCTCTGAGGGAAGTGAATAAGAACGTGTTAGTTAAACTCATTCTTTACTTTGAGTCATTTTGTTATTTGATGATCAATAAACATGTAGAAAGGAAGAAGTAACAAAAAAGTCGGCTCTGTTTCAATTATTAGAATAATTTATTGTAGAAGATTTCGTAATAAATATGTAGATTATGCAATCTTACGAGGCTCTGGAGTTCTTTATATTTCTTCTCGTTGTTTTTTGTATTTGTACAATACTCCATTTCAAATTTTTTACTCTTCATATGAATTGATTCTTCGAGTAGTATTGAGTAAAGTCTAACCATTATTTTAACGTTCAACATTGTATAAGTGTTTCTGGAAAGTTCAGTCATTTGCCCGCATATTGTTTTCGACTTCTCGGATAGCGGAAAAGCATCTTAATCTTAATCAAACAGAGAATTCCACAGATTTTCAACACCGTTTCGTATATCAATAATACCAGTTCGAGAGTTTATACTTTTGATCCAATTTCTTGTGTTTTATTAGTTACCATGAACAACTAGCGATGTACCGAGACCAATACATGACTGAAACGGTGTCGACTGGACTCGAAATTAAATTTAGTAACTTTTGACGTATGGTGACTAAAACTTAGATGAACGTGAATCTCGGGACTTCGACAAGACTACCGAGTTTCTCGGTACATCCCTATGGACAACCAAAGAGAAATGTATAAACTTGACAGATTTCGTGATACTAAAGCAACAGCATCTGATCGAATTGATGAGTGAAGTGTATATTTTTAAACTCTATTTCGGTGGATTGTTGTTGGAATTCATAATACAAGAATCCGTACGAATACCTATTGGTATGTTGATTAAGAAACAGAAGTTCCTCTGAAGAAGGAAGAAAAACAAGTGCTAGCCCTTCTGATTTGGTTTATTCAGTTGATAGTCACACAATGCATTCCAGAAATTTCGTCCACGGAATATACTGTTTGAAATTATATTTGTTTTAAGAAGAGACGTTATCGAAAAAAAAATAAAAGAACTGCAACCCATGTTGAAGACTTTTTTATTTGGAAGTATTACAATTGCTCGGGGCCGACCATAACGTGATCTCTGAATTTAATTAACATACATATTCACACAGAAAATGATGAAATAAAAAGAGACGATTGTATTATTTTTATACAAATAGATACATTTGAAACGAGACTTATGGTAAGTAGGATAGAATGCAAATACGATTTCTGTGTTATATAATGTGTGGAGACACTGCTTTCATATCCACTTGTGTATAGGATTCGTACGATAGTTCAACATATCAATACGGTCTCAACACTCGCAGATCAGACCTTCCATTAGTTTCTTTGCCTAGAAACTCGGTTGATCCTCAATATAATCAAGCAATGTCTCAACGACAAAGCAATTGGAATATAAATACTCTTCCTCAGCAGAACTCATCACTGAGTGTTTCGAACATCACACCAGCACAATATGGATCGTCATCGTCAGCTGCAATGGTGCAAGGCAATGCTTGGGGTGATCCAAATTCTATGAATAAAGGAGGAATGAACTCGAAAACAAACGAAGAATCTAAATTTAGGTAAATAGTGCCAAACAAGCATAACAAAAGACTTGTCTTTGATATAGTTGCTCGAAACTGTGCGCGAAAATCACCTCGTCGAAAATGCTCTTCTTCTTAGTTGGATTTATCATAGCTGCTGTTCCACTAGCTGTGTTTGTCACACTTTGGTAGGAAGGAAATTTGAAAAAACTAACGCTATTTATTCTGATATCACTTATCTTTTGTAGGGTAAGTAGTCGTTCGAGTTCCAGTTCAGAAGACAGTGGCACAAGTAAAGATTAGTTTTTTAAAGATCTTTATTAGAATCAACTATCGATTTTGTTCGTGTTTCAGCATCAACAACTGCCAGTTCCGCCACTTTACCAATTCAATGTTACGCTTACTCGATTCTGAATGATGTAACTCGAAATCAGCAAGTGGGTTATAGCTGTTGTTATACTCCCTATGACTCAAGCCTCACCGCCGGTTGGTACCGTGCTTCTGGAAGTGCCGGTTCACAAATTGCTTCGTCACCTATTTATACGACAAATACATGTGGCACCAATTATCCTGGCTATTATAATGGATCATTACCATCAAAAGCCGGTACATTAACAACTGGAAATGCATGCTTTTACACAGGTTCTTATTGTGGGTATTCAGTCTCGCCAATCAGCGTTATGAACTGTAGCGGGTATTATATATTTTATCTAGTACCAACCAGTAGTTCAAGCTATAGATATTGCACAACCAATTGATAGGCATGCTTATACTTTGACATGTTTGACTGATTTTAATTTTATATGCTAAATCATTGACTTTTACTTTTTTCCTTGGATCTTTCTCTGCCATTATTCATTCGTATTCATCAATAAATACAGATGCTGAAAAAAACAAAAATAGTTGAAAATTTATGCAACGAAGATGAAGTCCTCATACGCTTTTCTGTACTTCGACATACTATAGAATAGCTTCTGATTTAATTCTGGTCACCACTGAGGCTATAGAGACAATACACAAATGGGTTCTTCATAGGCGAATATGTTCTTGATACATTTTTCTAGTAAAATAAAAATGTTTGCGACGTAGAACATCCACGTCGACTGCAAAAATTAGAGAGCTCTGTCAGTAGCGAAATAATTGCAATAAGCATCACCAAGATTTGTGTGGGATTTTGTCATTACTATAGTTATTTTTCATCGTGTTATAACTTGTTATTATGCAGCGAACAGCAACAGCGAAAAAAGATGACCACTTTGAGATGTCTCAGCATAGAAAAATGTTGAATCACCAGAAAATCTCGACTCTGTCAACGTTTATCTTCATGCATTGAACTATAAGAAAAATCAACGATTTTTTTCTCTTGCGGCACGTTATAATCTCCGGTGTATTAACATCATAAGACAGAGTGGTAAGTTGTCGCGTCATTGAATTTGATATTACTTGAAAAACACTATTTTTATCTAGGCTAGATTCTATCCCCTATAGAATGGATGATAATGATGCACTGTCATACTCACAATATAATTTCTGTGCCAAACGCCAAGTTTGTCCGGGATATCGATGCGTCAAGCGCGTTTACCGATGAATTCTTACTATAGTTCGTAGATGACAAATTGTCGCAACAGTACAACATTGATCGATGCTGATGCATGACCTACAGAGTCGTTTCCAAAAAAATACCTTAGTTACACCGGACTTCAATTCTCTCAGCCGATTACATTGACCCATATAGTGATCACTGTAACAAATTATTTTCGCAGATTTGGTTTGGTACGCGAACCGTGCACACATTTAATTGCAACACAAATANGTCGCAACAGTACAACATTGATCGATGCTGATGCATGACCTACAGAGTCGTTTCCAAAAAAATACCTTAGTTACACCGGACTTCAATTCTCTCAGCCGATTACATTGACCCATATAGTGATCACTGTAACAAATTATTTTCGCAGATTTGGTTTGGTACGCGAACCGTGCACACATTTAATTGCAACACAAATAACTAACTTCAATTTGATACATCGAAAAGCCACAATTAATACCACATACTTCATTCTTTGAATTCGTATTCACATCAAATTCATTACCGAAAACTATGAACTGGTTATGAGTGAATTCTTCATATCACATAGAAGGTGTAAGGTTTTTACTGGGTGACAGTTCTTTATTTTGAGTTTAACATTTATGTGAAGAGAATATGTGGAACTAGAAATTATACTTCAGATACAAGGAGCATAAAAACTCACTTATTGGTTGGTCTAATCGCGTCGACAACGCGTACGACCAGTCCTTCACTGAGATGTATAATCCACTTTGCCTTTTTAGCATCGAATGAGCATGAATCAATCTGAAACCAGAAGCCGTTTCGGAGTAGAACCTCTTCTTCTTCAGGGTAAAATGAGTATTCTGAAATATCCGTACCCAAGTAATTTATATCAATTTCAAACAATACATTGCCAAACTGTTCGGCCAAACTGACGGAACGACTCGTTGAAGTAAATGCTGGAAATAACCATTGTTTTTTGCCAATAGACCGTTTAAACTGCTCGATCAACTGATTGGACAGATTGGCACCACGATAAACAGTCAATTTTTCTTTATTGCGCCCTAACAGGCTATGAAAAAGATGTATGAACGGTCCAAATGTAGGTACTTTGCTTCGTACAAAATCAATGTGTGCATCTTCCCCCAATAAACGGAGAAATTCATTGATCTTTTTATACAAGAACGTTTCCATAGTGTATAAACGGACGCAGACAGCGAGTGCCTTTTCTTCGCTTTCTCCTTTCACATTAAGAAGCTGTTGTGCCATCCACTCTGCTTCTTGTTGTCTTCCCATTTTCTTTCCTTCTATAACCAGACCTTCCACTGCTCTCTCTATCCAGAAGCAACCATTAGTTCTGTAGCAGTCCATAAAAGATTTACAGTTGAAATGATTTCGAACCATATCATTGAAGTTGGATACATTTGTACTTTCGACGAACGCTGTTGCAGGTGATATAATGCTAGAAAAGAATCTGCCTTCACGTAGTCGTACTTCGTTCTCCCTTCCATGAAGTCTTTTTACAGGTCGTTGTTTATTGAAATCATCGTTCGAGATTTGAACAAAGTGTTTGAAATCGACGTGGTAGCTGTCGAGAAGAGCTTCACTTGCTTTTTTCTGAAACGCTTCTTCAATCATCGCTGCTTCCACATCCGAATAACAACTCCATTGAGCAGCCTCGGAAGACCATGGATCCGTATTCGACTTATACAACCATTCTGTGCGTCTCCATCTTTGTAGTGGTACATGAGAGGAAGCAGCGTGTGCCATTATTCACTCAATAAAGGAGCAAATCGTATACAATAGAACCACTTGTGAGCCCTATTCAGGAGATATATAAAAGAAGAAAGAACTCTTATCAACGAATAGTTTTATATTCTTAAAGATAATAAAATGGATGCGAAGCGAATTTATGGTTTATTACATCGTATTTTGTGAGATAAACTATAAGTTAAAAAGCTTTCGAACTCCAGTGAAATTTTGATGTAATAGTACGCCATTGAGAGTTTCATCACAGTCAAATCGCTTTTTCAGGAGTTATTGTGCAAATGAATTTATGAAGGACCGTAAAAGATTTTAGTAAAGCGTTCCTTTTCGGCATACTGAAGCACCGAGAAGTTTTAAACATTTTTCTCGTAACGTTTTGTCCGTACTTTAACTCTCTTCAAGTCAAGACCATATTTGAAAGCTGTTTCTGAACGGATGTCTATGCTTTAGATCATCGAGAACATCGGGCATGACTTCGGTAATGTCAACAAGTACAAAGGAGATCTGAATAAATTTCACCAAAGTTTGCATCTAGTTTATCCACATCGGTCTAACTCACTCCTTACTTGTCTTTTAATACTATATCCACGTTTGACTACACTTAACAAGGCGATATGAAAAGCTTGTCGTTCTTTTTTTGCCATGAAACCGCGTGGGTGAAATTTCACTCACGTCAGGTCACCCTCATCTTTTCCAGGTATCCCTTGATTTTCTGCTCAACAAGAGCACCATTCAATGTGCTTCCATATTGTAATTAAGATGAGGCACGATTCGACTAGGCTTCGTCAATTTTACTTGTAAAAATATTATATGAAAAGAAAAAGTTCTTAAATTGGGGTTCAAATCATGAAATCGAATCAACAAGAACGATTCGATGATTCTCAGTGTCCGAAATGTAACAGTTTCCTTCAAGATCCATTGATAAATCATCAGGATTATTGAATCGATTTTTCCGACTGCCTCTTCTATATCCGCCAACAACGACTTCACATCTCTCATCTCCTTCAGCGACAATGATCTCTTTCTTCGCAGCCTTAAACTATTTCATAACGCGATGATTCGCATGATCTGATATCTAAATCGATTGATTGGTATCAACGAAAATAAAAGTAGGCTTTTCGAGTAGATTCAATTGGTTTCCTTGGCCATTACCACCTGCGGTCAATGTTCTTCTTCCTTTTTCTCCGAGTTTCCATCTTCTCACTTTATTTCTTTCGTGATCTGAAACATAGAGAAATCCGTGTTGATCCACTGTTAAACTTCGACATGAAATGTTTCCAATAACAATTTCCTGTCGATTCTGATTGAACCATTTGTCTCTGGTTCGATTTCAACTCCAAAGGAAAATATTCAACATGATCATAACGGCACAAAGAACTAATCTAAAATATATTCATAGTGCTGGTTTCTTCTTTCGCTTTAAAGAGAAATCATCGAGATTTTCAACGCTTGTTTGAATATCTTTCTCTGCAATGAGAACTAAAAGAACATTAACTTACCAGATTTTAAAGCTTCTTTATCTTCTTCAACCTTATCATCGTGAAGAAGTTGATCGGTGAATGGTAGTATTATGACTGATAGACTTTGCACAGATTCATTTAATCCATAGTCATTGATTTCGATGAAAATGTACTAAGGAGAAAAGCAAACCTTTCAATAATTTTACGGCATCCAAACGACGAATTTGTTCCAAAGCGTTGATAAGATGGGTTAAATCGTCTTCATTGATTTTATCCTGATCAAAAAGGGAATCCATCAGGCTGAGTGTTCCACTAAGAGATGGACCATCTCGAAACCTTCGTGGAATATCATTCCCAAGGTAAAAATGAAGACGCTTTCGATCATCATTTGCAAGACGATCTTGAAGATTGAGAAGAATCGCACATAAGTGATGATAATCCATGAAATATTACAATACCAACAACTGAAACAATTTAAAAAGATCAAACTGACAGTTCTATTGTTGAACATAACACATCCAATTGAAGTAAATATCGGCTTGCAGTAATCGATTGTAAGCGATTTCGAAGTTTTTTTCTATTCGCAAAAAATATAAATAATAGTAAAGATGAATGATTTCTTTTTGTCCAACTCATCAACCTGATTTTCATACAATAGAGAGTAGTGTTCATATAGCTTGCATTTTCAGACCTAAGAAATAGATGAAAAACAGATAGATGTTGATTCATTAAAGAGTTTTTATCGTAAAGCATTTTAGAAAATGTACTCAATATAACAAAAAAATAATCACAACTAATCATTGTCGACTCGTTACAGATTTCGAAACAGATCGGATGAACGAGCGAACGCATTTATTTAAAGAGAAAAATGTCCACATTCAATATTCTTACAAGAAGAATATGCGCTCGACTCATGTGAGCGGAAAGAGTAAGATGTTACAATTTCGATTGCATGGCCTTTAGATCAGCTAGAAAATCTCGTGAAGTTTCCTCGCCTTTCTCGGCGCGCTCTTCAAAGATCTTCTCATTTCTCTCTAGCCATTCCATTTCTTCTCCTGCTGCAGGAAGCATGATACCATCTTCAGCAGCATTTTCGGGATTTACATCGTTTACGCCGATAAGATGGCAACGTTCACCCACAATCGTCATCCATGCATTATTTATTTGAGAAATCAAAGATTCCTTTGACTCGGCCGATCGACCAGCTCGGATATGACCAATAATTCGTGCTTTATGGCGAGGTTTATTATTGATGAATTCAACCTTTTCATTTTCAAGCAGAAAAACAATTCTAGTAGTAAATCTGCTACATTTGTACTTACGTTATCATCAGTTGAATGAAATACAACGTTGACAAGTGCAGGTAAAGCACCAGTTACAGTGCAATGAATGTGTGTGATTTCTTTGCATACTCTCTCCTTTTGTTGCTTGGTTAGTAGTACCTTTGGATGTTCAATAACATAGAGTGGCATACTGAAATATGACTAAAAAGCGAATGATTACTTCGCAGTTTTGGTCTTTCTCTTACATTAGTATCTTTTTTATATTCGAGATAAGAATTTTCGAAAGAAGATACGACGATACTGTCACATTTCTTCAGCAAATACAAAACTACAACATTTCACTCTTGCAATCAAGAATAGCGCTGAGAGATTGTCTTTATTAATTAGTTTTAGTATATGAAATAATAAAACAGTTCAATCATAAATATTGGCATAGAATTTGCCAGCGGCACCTCCCGTCTGGTAGAGTCGAAATGAGATTATGTAGTTATAACCAATTGTGGCCGGAAAGGATTGAGCGAGAAAATCATAATTAGGATTTTGGCAACGATCAATGTAACAGTTACCAGAATAGCAGCTACTGCTTGTTATTTGACCTTGATTTCCAGCACCACATCCTGATTGACACGATGTTATCCAACCAGTTGGTGTTGATGATGAGTTTTCGAAGGCAGGATTCTGCAACAGTTGAATAAGAGGCGCACTAGCAAGTACGACAGATACATCGTCCAAGTAGTTTGTATCTGCTGGACCATTTTTGAACCCAAACATGAGCGTAGGTCCTGAGGTCACTGCTGTGTAATTGAATGAAAAGAGAGTCCATGGAGTTGCGCCATTCATTTGCAACAGATTACTTGCAGGAATCGTCGTACATGATGGAACTGGAGTATATATAACAAATTAAAAAAACAATGTTTAACAATAGGAATTACTTACATGTCATTGTTACCGTTGTTGTTGTTGTTGTTGTTGTTGTTGTTGAGACTGTTGTTACATTTTTTGTATACGCTGCCTGCGGTGGGAGTTGCAGGTAGAAAAAACTTGCGTTAGATAATATCATTAAGCCATCATCGGTAGAAGAATAATTTTTGATTACTTGACATGTACTATTGTTTGTGATACAATTCCATCCACTAGCAGCGTCCAGTAAAGCAGCACATGCACATTGTGCACAGCTGAAGTTGGAAAATGTTCGATTAATATTAGTTGCTTTATATACTACGTTGGAAAGTAAATTGACAGAAATCGAAACGCCGGTATCCATCATAAGTATCAATAAAATTATTAAGCTATGATTTACATAATAACGAAGGACTCGGAGAGAGTTCATTGTATAGAATTCTTTGATGCGTTTGAAAATAAATTAAGGAACGACAACTATTCTCTTTGTTTCTCACCTTAGTTGAATCGCCCTACGATCGAGTTTGTTTCTATGAAAAAAATGAATACAAAACAGAGAACGACAGATCAATAAATACGACACACCTCAAGAGACACTCGAAACTAATAATAATGAAGAAAAGTTCGTTAAGTGTAAACTACTAATGATTCACTACAGAGAAAATATGACTACTAAAGTTTAGATGACAAGTCGTTTAGAATAGTGCAAAGTTGAATCAAAGTTAAACTTGCCTTCCCAGAGAAGTTCTATACTATTACGTAAAACTAAAGTAGAACATCCAAAGTGATGCACTTTATCGTGAACTGGAAGGATGAATGGGTGGTGTGAAAAAGTGCATTGAAATTTTTCTTTTCTGTTTTGAAAATTTTAAGTGTGTTCATTGTCTACTTTAGCGGCTCTCAACGTCATCACGTTTACGATAAAGAGCACTACCACTTCTCCGTTTCTACTGCATCATCATCCATAGAGTAACCATTTGTGTAGGTTATCTAAAATGAGAGTATTCAACGGAACGCTTCACATATATGGCATAGCTGATCAAAAGAATCTATTTTTGATCTGACCATCATTGTAGCATATATCTCTTTTATGTTTATATCGTTTAACATTTCTGCAATGTTCACCAGAGAATATCAGAAATAGCTATTCGAATTTATTGATAATATAAATAAATGCACACACAAAATACAACATATGAAAGAAATGAAACCCTTTCGGCAGGGAATGAGTATATCAGTAAACAATTCAGACATTACAGTGAACATTGAGTTGAAAGAAAGACGCTCTAAGTCATTTTATATCCGTCAGGCTTCATTAATTATTATCTCTTCTTCGTTTATATGATAGTTGCAGGCACTTAACAGCACGTGCTAATGATGATGTAATACCACACTTCATTTTATGCACTCATTCCTAAATCATACTTATATTTATTTTCCTAAACGCATTTCCCATCATCTCCCTAGAAGTGCAAGATATATATACGATAATGAAATATACTTTGCGAGCAAAACGGTCGTTGATTTTTTCATTCATCCTGCATTAGTAATTCAGCTTGCAGCATTTTTCTTTCCAATCAAAAGCAGGCAAAAAAGACTAATTATAATCCTTTTTAAAAATGAAAAGAAAAACAAAGGAGGAGTATTCATACTAATTGAGATTTTTTCTTATTATAATTGAAGTCCAAAAATACGCACACTTTCTGTCTTTTGACAGAAAAAAAAGCGACGTGCTTGGTACTCTGAAAGAGTTTTTTTTAAAAATATGAACCTAACCTCAACCGAATCCTGGTTCGTTCCGACGGATATTCTCATGGTTATATGCACAATACTAATCATCATTCTTGCTACTCTTTTCCTATTTATTATCATTCTGCATAAGACATGTCATACGATCTCGATGATGTTAGTCGCAAATACTTGTTTAACAACACTGGTCTTAGGATGCGTATCGTTAAGTTTAAGTTTATTTACATTAGAAAACGATCTGAAACAAATTTACTACGAAGATTCACTCTGCGTTCTTCAAGCATATCTGAATTATGCAGCATCTGCTGAATTTATGTTTTCATTTTCATTACAAGCTTTCTATCGATATATTACAGTGGTCTATCGTACTAATTTGTATTGGCAAACATTCAAATGTCAAGCTCTACTTGTCTGTATTACATGGATCTTCTCCTTGACGTATCCAGTGGTATTCGTCTTCCTTCATAACATAACTTATAATGCTGACAATCAAATATGCCAGTTACCTCTTGGAATATCTTTTTCGTTATTTTATGGAGTATTTTGTATTTATCTCATTCCCGTGTCGATGACTATGATCATATATTTTAAACTAATTCTATATATAAGAGAATTAAGTCATACTACGATGGTCGTTCGTACATTGCTCCGCGTACAGCGAGAATTGAAAATGGTACAACGTATAGTCACGCTTCTGAATATAATCGTGACAATCGGTGTTCCCTATGGCATCTTTGTTTTCATCTCATTTTTCACCACGCCACCGAAGTATCATTTTCGTATTGCTTTCATATTCACTGATGCATCGATATTGATAGCACTAATTGTCTTACTTCAATTTACCGATCCGCTGAAAAAATCGTTAGTAAAAAGATTTCTACAGCAACCAAATGCCGTTGCTGCTGCAGGAAGAACATGAGAGTGACGAGTAGAAATATTTTATGCCATTGCTTTTTATTTGTCAATGATCGTACGCCTACGTTCGGTTTAAAGAAAATAAGTGATGTTAAAATTATAGCAAAAAAAGGTCTTTTCATACGAAAAGTTTTAGTGTATCGTTCGTTTTCTCAAGAGAAAAAAAAACGTTTAACGGATATTGTCGATATTTCCATAACAGAAGAGGACTTACTTTATTTCTCACAAACCTATCAAGATCTCATGGGGTACTTATTATAGCGCTTTTCAGTTCATTCTCATCGGTAGGTTTGCCTTGGCAATTGATGACAAAGATCGAAGCGACGAGAGCCAAATAGATAATGATCGTTTTGCCGGTCATGCTGTTCTCATTGGAAGGTGTGAATGTAGTGAGAAAGTGAAACTTTTTAAAAATTTTTCTGTGTATATGCAGTCGATTAAATAGGGAATGTGGTATGTGGATAGGGTTGAATGAACAAGCCAATAAGAAGAAACACACCTCCACAGTGCAGTCTTATAGTGTTGACTGTTTTCACATCCAGACTTTCTAGGTATATTTACGACGAAGCAAGAAGTAGAAAAATGACGTATATTCGTTCGCAATTTGTCAATACACGAAAGAAACGTTCTTGGGTTACCCTTGGTGCGTTCAATCTGAATAGTTGGTAAATATCATCTCAATTCTATAGTTGGTATAACTGTTTCCGTTCGTATGTTCATTTTGCGTAATATGAACAATTTCAACGATTCCGTAAATTGAAATAGCGCAATCATGATGAATATCAGCGATGGATTCGTGAAGATCGCCGATATTCGATAGTAATACTTCACTGGTTCGGTAAAAAACGATATAAATAGAAAAGATGTATAGGGTAGACCAAGTACAACTAAGATCGTCGTTATTGTTACTATTCGACGTACCATTTTCAATTCCCTTCGTAAACGAGGTANACCATGGAACAAGGTTCGCCTACGGCCTATCGATATTACTTAGCGGTTTGAAACCAGCAATCGATGCAGCACATGGTGCCGGTATATACGCCAGTCCATCAATTATCTATACAGCTCATCCAAGGTACTCTGAGATTAAAAAAATCGAATCAGAGACTGAGAGTACATTTTTCAAGGGTGGTAAATATGTTCAGTTTGTTTTACAATGCCGTGTACATCCGAATAACATAAAAAAGATTGGCCGAGAAACGATTAAAACTTGTGATACAATCATCGATCCTAACTTCGATAATGACGTCATTGAATGGCTTATCGATGCGCAAGGCAAACCCATCATGGATTTTAATGATCCAAACTCCACTATTGTTTGTACAGGTCTCATGGTGCGTGTTACAGACAATCATCCAGGAGTATTGCCTGATTCACAATGGTGGTACCACACGTTTTTAATTGAACATCCGCAAATGCTACAAAGCATTCAGTTGCATCAACTTCAAGAGAAAATCGAAAACGAAGAGACATGTAATATCATTTTCAGCTAAACAAAGATTAGATTTGAACCATTTTTTTTCAATCTTAATAAAAATGCTATGTAGATGTCATACTCACGTCATCAGAATTTATTATGATTAAATAGAAAGAGCATTGTGATCTCATACGTCTTTTCAATTACGGATTAAATAGTTGTTTTTGGGAAACCAGTCTCATGATGCTTTGTGAATGTAACAGGTCGTGCATTGATTTGAGTTACTCGATTTTGTCGTCGAATGTATTTAAACCAAAATGCGTTGACGATCTGCTGGAAATCACGTCGAAATGATTTTGACGACAGGATAAACAGGTAAAACGGAGCAATGAATATTCCTTGGTTGATGAACTGACCCAAAAAGTTCATAAAAGCATCGATTTCTATGCGCTCTGCGCTTTTATTCACCAGAGAAACTGTTGCTGCAGTGTAAATCAGATTCGCTGAGAGTGGAATGGACGCAATGATATTTATTAGAATCTCAGCCACTATCATGCGCATCAAATCACGATCCCTTCGTCTCACACTGGTCAAAGCGGTTCCTCGTTGATGAATAGTGCGAACAGCAAGGATACCGAATATGCCCATCAATACGGATGGCAAAAGAGAGACCAGTACTAACTGATAGATGCCGAAAAAGTATCTATAGGAATCGAACAATCCACAAGTACTACCACGTAGATCCATGAAAACGGGAAAATGAGACGCAACGGTAGGGCACCCTACGCACACGATTGCTGTGAGTAGGTATGCTATTTTAGTGGAACTCCATGAACGCATTCGAACATTTGAGCGCGTAATAAAAAAGAGATCGATACAGGCAAGAACAATGAGATAACGGGTGTAGAGACCGAGTACATGGCTGATGTAGATACGCATCTTGCAGTAAACTAATGATTTGGTTTGTGGATCGACGTGATCGAGAGTATAAAAAATGAGTGGAACTGACCAAAGAAGATACGCGTTGGCAGAAATGGATAATGCAAAAAAATAGATCGAACAAGCTGTGCGAGGATTAGAATTCTTGAAGAAAACTATGCTGCAGCATAGATTACCAATAAGACCCATGGCAAAACTGGTACTCATAATATATCGATTTAGAATTTGTTGTACAGAGGGTAGAATCGTCGCAGGCATCGTAAGAGTAGATTTGAGTATTACTAAAAATTAATTTAAAAATTTTTCAAATGAAATTCTATATATACTGTCTATGACACATCATTCAAATTGATTATCTAAGTGTAAGAGTATAGAAGCTGAGCTATAAATAAAAAGCTGATTTTCTAATTTCTATCTTTCATTCGCATCAGAATAAGACGTGTTAAAAGTCTTTTCTATCTCGAGCATTTTTGACATCATGCAAAGCCGTTGATACGTCACAAAAACGGCTTTTAGTTGATTTTCGAGATATGCAATTCTGTTCGAAAGAAATACTCATTTCAATAATGAAATAAACTGATATGAGTAGTATACCTGTGTTTTCTGTTGATTATCGAACTGTCAATGGAATTACATGCTGTCGTTACAGGCAGTATCATTTTCTAAAGATGTTACTTTATTTTTACTTTTTTTTATAGAAGAAAAAGATTGAAGTTAATCTTTCTTTTATATGTTATGCTGTTTTGAAAGGAAAGGCGTTCGTTCTTAATCATTTATCAGTCGTTTTCTGGTCAGTTGCTGCATTCACTCGATTTGAACGGAAATAATGTTGGATTAATCGGTAGATAATTTCAACTAATTCCATCAATGAAAGAAAGCTAACACCGATCCATAAGCCTGTTTGCCCGCCGATATTGGAAAAAAGGTCGACTGGAGCAAGTGTTGCTGACTCGGTGTTCATTTCTACAATGCCTGTTCGACGCACTACATCGACACGAAGATAATTACTATAAATCTGCTCACGCCATGTACTTGACCAGTTGGTAGGCAGCGGAACAGTTGAGTTTTCCACGAATAATTTTATATCATTCATTTGAAATTCGATCGGCGCAACCGAAGATGATGTTTGAACAGCAAAGTCCGTTTTCTCACACTGAGTTTGACAGTCTGCACAATACTGATCCATGAGCGATGGTGAAGCGGAGAATACACTGATAGCATCACGATAACAAGTATTATTTGTGCCGCAAAGAGTTGTGTATATGATTTTATTCGTTCCGGACAACATGATCGAGCGAGCATTCCATTTATACGGGTTGACACAGCCACATTGATCAAATCTATGTACGAATTCGTCATGTATAGATGCAATGATTAATTATACTCACACATATGCTTGTTCACAAAGTTGGTAGCAAATAACCTCTGAATATCCGTAATCAGCACCGTTATATTTATCCAGCATCATTTGCATCAGAGAAGATACTTCATCTTTACAGTTAGAATATGGTGCAGGTAGGAAGCGGACTGTCTTCTCACTATAACTTAGTCGATGTTTTCGTCCTGCTGCTAATTCTACACCAGCTGCTTCAATTAACGGTAATTGTGTATTTCCATGTATTAGACCAATGAGACCGACGGCTAAAACCAGAATATAACAAAATCATTTGATCTACTACAAATTATCTTCGTACTCACAATCAGTCATTTGAGGAACGTATTGGTGACTATGTAAATATATCCCTAACGAGAGTATTCCATCACCACCATACTGTCCAGCTAAGCGTAGGGTACTGTTTGAGCTATTTTTCATCTTGGCATTGAATGTATAACAAAATCCATATAGTGATGATGTAAATAGAACAAAATCTGATAATGAACATGGACGATTGTTAAACGAACAAGATTGAAGCATGACAGGCAATGAAAACAAAAATGACCCGATTGGTTGGTTCCTGTTCATTCGATCAACTATGAAATCATAAATAAGAGCAACACTGAATTGATTGATATCTACTGTTCCATTTGCGTTTGTCCCGTTAGACATATTACTATAGTTAATCAACAAACCGATGATTTCATCGGATCGAACGGGTGATAGATTGCAAAGACTGAATGCTGGAAAATAGTTCGGCCATTTGTTGACATAGCTAATATCTATTTTAGTTGGATATTCAAAATAAGCTAAGATCGCTCGAACAATAAAATAGATCATGGTAGCAGTGAAACCCGTGAAGGAAATCAACCAGAAGAAGCGACTGAGAATATCGGTTGAACGAGCAACGCGTGACAGACCATACGCGGATGTATTCAAACAAGATTCATGAATAATAGAGCGACGACGACGACGCTGACCGATGGGTTTTTGCTCCATTTATTTCGAATACTATGTGTGAACGTTTGCTTTTCTTGTTTCAAGTCTTCATTAATAAGAAGAATGAGGATATAAACATCCTTCTCTCTTATTCGAAGGGTAAACATAGTTTTCCGAGATGTATCGTTTGCCGTTTAAAAACAAATTTACTTCTCGGCGATGTCGTGTCCGGAGTTTTCAATATGCATTTTTCATGAGATGTATATTCTTGAAAGAGAAACTGAAAGGCTGAAACAGTACGAAACAATGCACTTTTTATACTTCATTGAATACGAATAAACAATAGAGATTTTCACACACCGATCAGTATATATTTCACCATAATTTCTCGTATATTTAGTTTGGGAGTGTGTATATCATATAGATGCATTATGGAAAATAAACTCATTCATACAACAGCTGACTTATACCAATATACTCAATCTGAGTAAAACGTTAGATAGAGAAGATCTAGTTATGATTTAGATGAGGCAAAAGATTTGTGCTCAAAAAATACTATACTATTATTTCAATACTTGTGTTCGTTTTATAGTTTATTTATACCTATCATTAAAGCGGACATTTTACGACCTAAAGAATAACTCTTAATAGCATTTCTTCCAACATACAACAAAGGAAGTAGACTGAATCAAAACGTCTTATCTTGCGCATATATTTGTGTAAAAAAACCACACCATCAGACCACATATCTAGAGAGTAATTAAATTCGTATGTATATATTGTGAAGACAAGATGAAAACGATGCACATACACAAGCAGAAAAGAACTACCGGTAGCATCCGTAGTAGCTCGATTTTGTACGGTGTGAGCAGAATGTTCGCAAAATCCGATAAAACACGTGACCTAGCAACGATTATAGGATATATAAAAGATGGTTGACTCTCAGAGACACTTTATCGTGTAAAAGAAGTGTCAAAAGAACTAACGTTTATTATACGAATGAAAGTGAAACTGATTTTACTGTATTGTATTGTTTGGCAAGTTGTACACTCCGATGTGTACCAGAAAAGTGTTGTTGGTATTGAAATTGCTACGCTAATGAATGACAATCTGGCAAAAGATCGCGCTCAGAACTCAACAGACTCATTTAAAACCAACTTTGGACCACTTCAATTCATGCTCACATCGCCGTCATATATATCCAATTGGTGGTGTATTCAAATGTTTGAAGAAACAGGGTCTTGACAGGATAACTACCTATGTGCAAATCGAAACATTAATCTACACTGGATTTTTGAGAAAGACGAGTATGGCGCACTGACATAAAATGCGTAGCTACTGCAGAACATGCGGACAACAATTGGAACGATGATTCGAATGTTGAATTGATATGGTCGCATAACGGGTCCGTCAGTCGAATGACAGTTTAACTCAATGAATTGGATACAGATGCACATCTTAAAAAAGCAGTTTTTGTCGAATCGATGAACAGAAAGATTTCATTTGGTACGATCTGAATTCTGTCTCAATTGTGATTGAATGATCATCTGTGTACTTGGTAGTAGAAGAAGTACTTCATCTTCAATAACGAAGTGTGAATGACCACGTATCACCCGATTATTGATCATCTTCACAGAGAACAATGTTCGCTTGCCAGCTTCGCCGAGATATATACACATATTGTTCTTTCGGATAGACAACGAGATCGTACATGATGAGGACGCCCACCAAATTACGAAAGTGCCAGGTGGGAACTGTAAACTCAAATCTTTCGTTACTCCTCTCCAAAGAGCAGACGGGGGCAAACATGGTAGTTTAACCAGTGCAATCAGAAATACGATCACAAATTCTCGTTGAGAATAAAGTTGAGCATGGAATAAAGACTACGATGAATACTATGTTATTCACATGCATAGAGACCATAATAGCTGGCTCTTCGAAGGTCTCACATAATGCAAGTTGTAAATCATGGTATCTAACAAAGTAATACTTCTGCCAATGGTAGTAGAGATTCTATGGCATATACAACGATAGGATTGAGGATCTTTGCTATGTCGTTCACATCTAGCTGTTCAGGAACAATTTCTATGATTCAGCAACTCGATCCGAGATCTGAACTAGTTTGATTTACATCAATATAATTAACTAATCCTCGTTGATTATTCAAAAAATGACAGAAAGTATTTTCCGCCAATTCGATTTGAATTGTATTCGGTCGCGTGACCATTTCTGCTTTCAAAATAAGTAGACAATCGAACGCCCAAACTCCATACCCTCTCTTTTTTTCATCGTTACGATCATTCAACCATAGCTCGTTTCTTTCCCTGAAGAATAAATATATTTTTTCTACGCGTTACGGATAATACACTGATGAGAAACCAAGAAGTTACATGAGTCATCTTTCTCTCTCTGTATGTGAGCAAAACACATTTATGATTCAGAAAATGAAGATTTCCAAAAGAAGAACATAGTCAAGTCATTTTTAATTGAAGGCCAATCTCTATTTATACGGTAAGAAGGATATTGCGCAAAACAATCAATAGCATTTGATTCTGTCAATGCCTAGGACAATAGCGTGTCATTTCTGCAACAGTACATAACGTTTCACAGCATGCTTCAGTAAGTAATTTTCGTCGTACCGATCGTCGAACACGTTTCGTAGCTGGTAATGAACGTACATCTCTTCGAAGAATATCACAAGCAATACTGACCATTTGTAAGAGATAAACTCCACACGCATGATACGCCCGATGGATTCCGCAATCTTCGACTTTGTAAAGTTTACTTTTCATTTCGATAGTTTGGCCTTCTGTTAGCAGATTTCCATCGTATTCTACGGTGCAATTATCATGAATGACTGGCACACTTGTCCCACTTGACTCACAGTAGACACCTTGATAGCACAGAATCAGTATGATCAAGATATATTGGGCATAGAACAGTATCGCCATGGCCAATAATGAGAATTTAGTGGTCGACTAAAAAGAGAAATAATGTTCGTGGAAAGTAACCGCTTAAGACGAAAATGCTTCTTAGTTTTGTCTTAGCTACAATTTACTTACCTAGAGAAGGGCTGGTGTATTTTTATGTAGCATAATGAACATACTTGCATATATATATACTGATAACGACTTGACTCAGGCAGTGATAGATATGGAATACTCAGTCCTAGCTCTGTGTGCTTAATAAATCATAAGTTAATAGTCAGGGACCTCTACAGGAAATAGAACTGGAAAATACGAGTTTAAAATCATAAACAGGTATCATAGAACCTTTCCTTTCTTTTCCTGAACTTGCGGCGCTGTATCGATTCATATGTGACTTTGAAACTATATCTAGCTTAGTTTTTTTCTGTGTTCTTCAAGTCACAAACCATTCCATAATCAGCGTATGGTTAATGAATCATGTCGAGCTAAAACCATATTTTTGCATTTCCTCTTGGCTACATGAAATGATACTGTTCCATATGTGACTTACAACCTATATCAGCTCTTAAGTTTATCTTGTACTCTACTCACAATATTTCCCTTTTCTATTTCGTATGATAGTATGCTATGATATCAAGATGATGCCTTAGTTTGCCACCTGCTGACTGACTGATGAGGACAATCGCTTTTAGATCATGTCTAAAAATTATTTCACATTCATGAACAGCGATCTTTAATGGCTTGTAGCCAAAAAATTATAGTCATCTTCGCTTTTTATTCTCGCTAAAGCGCTATTCGTTACGATGAAAAAACGAATGCGGATTGCTGTTTTAGTCATCTACGAAGCATGATTCATCACACGTGACATTCTGATTTTATTTTCAACGGCGTTTGTTTTTATTCCTTTTTACAATATGTCGTTCTGTTTGTTGGATCGGTTTCCTGTCGAATTAATTCATCAGATCTTTGCTTATCTATCAGCACATGAAATAGTCTATGCATTCTCAGGTACCACTGAATATCTCAATGGAATAATGGCGACTTATGATCGATACGTAGTTGCATTTCATGCTATTACGAAATGTCAATTTGATATGATATGTCGTTGCTTACGGCCTGAACAAATTCTTTCCCTCACATTCTCCGATGATGATGAAGCATCAGAGCAATCCGAAATTTTCTTTTCCTACTTCAACATCGAACAATTTACTCATCTTCGTTCGTTCAACACAGAATCTATCAACAGTGACACATGCAACAAACTAACCCAACTACATCAGCTCCAACAGCTAACAACGATTAGCCTATCTCATTTATTCCAGAGAGTCTGTCCAGAATTTTGTGCAGGCATCCAGAAACTACTTCCACAATTGAATCAACTAGCAGTGTACAATGTATATTGCCTTTTGAGCGACCCGTTACCAAATCTACACCATTTAGCTTTGCGATATTGTGATTGTCGGCATTTAGTAACTATACTCACACTGATGCCTAACCTTCGAACATTTGATGTGATATTGACATGCGGTGTTCGTTCACATTGGCCGATTGAACTTCCACCGTTACTTTATTTGAAAAAATTCACACTTCGAACTGAAGGTAAATAGATAAAGCCGACTATATGGAATCGAATAGAAACTGTTTTTGTATCGTAGGTGAATATTTAACTTTGAGCAAAGTAGAAAAATTCTTATCCAAAATACCCAATTTGAAACATTTCGAATTGGAAACGGAAGGACTCAAGGAACTTTTCGATGGTGAACGATGGGAACCGATTGTTTCTGGTCTTTCGAGATTTGATTTTCGAATCCATTGTAGTGACACTTCGAATAACGTTTTTGAACGTGAACACGTCCTTCAATCTTTTCGTTCATTATTTTGGCTTGAACAGAAACGTTGGTTTGTAGCTTATTACACTCCAAACGCGCGAGAGATTTTCACAGTTCCTCGGTTTTTATCAACGATTAGCAATTATCCGTCTGTGAATTGGCCCCCACAATGTACACTAACTGACTTTCCTTTTGCCAAACATATTACACATCTGCAGTGTTCAGCACTTTATCCTCTGATCGCTGATCAATTCCCAAACATAACGTCACTTACGATACATACAAATCGAACGCTTGACGGCCAGACATTGGTTCAAGTTATTGAGCAGATGAAATTTTTAGATTCAATTTCAATTGTAGACCTTTCAATCGTAAATCACATACCGATCAATGTAGTCTTCGAGAAGATTCGAAGTTTATCAGTACAAGAATTCAGTACAAGTGACAGTCATCAAACAATACACGATCTCGATCGATTATGCCTTATTTTTCCTCGACTAGAACGCTTGAACATGAAATTACTCTCTCATATTCATCTGTTTCGACTAATTGATCAGTTAAAATATCTATCAATTGCAAAATTTGAACTCCATCAATCATCGTCTGAATCTCCTACCATGCAGCGTAACTGGTTGATAAATAATTGCCGACGTTTCCAAATAACGGACAATTTCACATTCAGATATGTCAATGATACTATTTATTTATGGATGGCCACCGAGAACGCAAATAATCTCGATGCATTAACACTGACCGACACCGAACCGTTGTCTACTTGGTATTCACGCTTGTCATGTACTCTACAGTAGGTTTCGCTTTGAAGATAAAATCTACAAGGCGGAGAAATACGCCATCTATTATTCTACTCGCACTTTTTTCTATTGATTATTTGCGTTAACGCTGATTATGCTCTTTTGTTTCTTTTGTACGAAAAATAAATGTAATCGGACCCAATTCGACTCACAACGTATGAAAAAACGAATGCTCGCATTATTTCCGGCATGATCGATGGTATAATGTATTGTCACTGACTATGGCTCTATTCACGGTCAAAACGCAATCCATGTGATGAGAAAATTCTTCAAAATAACCAATCGATCTATGTCATTCACAACGACTTGTCTACGAATAACTGGAGTTTACTTTTTTGTTTCGTCTAAATTTTGGGATGTGTATGAACAAGAAATCAAAGATCGACCACACGAACATCACTACGGCTATTTGTGAAACGTGTGCTTGTGTAGGAAAACTATAAGAGAAACGATAATTTGCATGAATAAACTCTCTTCTTCGCGTAAGAATATGTGAGATTGAAAAATTATATCAAATCGAAATAAAACATGAAATATTTTTACTTTTTGTCTATTTCTCCAGTTAGGTGATGAAAATCATTTTGTTTTCACCAATGAATAGTTTATGAGAATGTGCGAGTTGGTTTAATTTCTTCCCTCACAACTTTCCCATTCGTTGCTTCAAATGCACAAGCACATGCAACTTATGATCGAACTTTTATATATTTGTTTCATTTCAACTTACGACTGAGTTTCGTGAACAGCAAAATGAAATAGAATCATCTAACTTTTTCGCATCATTGACTGTATTCGGTAAACGATTTCTCGTGATATAATAGACAGGTTGTGATTTTTCGCTTGACTACATTAGTTGTTGCCAATAGAATTGTTTGCTAGAGATGTGAATCTCACCAGCACTTTCACTCATTCTCAAAATGAATTTGAGTGAATAAAAGTGCGAGAATTTTATTTTTAAAGCACATTAGAAAATGGTATTATCTTTCTTTGTTGTATTCTCTCGCATTTGAAAATTTATGATTGAAAGTAAATACAAGTATTTGCTTATGTGCATTTGTCACTTCAATACTCAACTTGATAAAAAATGTATCGTAAATCAACGACTGTTAAAAGTGTTCGACAAATACCCGCAAACAATACACAGCGTCATACGACTACAGATGAAAAACCAAGAAGCAAACATCCAGTTATTCGAGAGACACTTAGTGAATCGTATCGTTTAGTTTGGCTAGCTAAAGATGAAACGAATAATATAATCCCAGTAGCAAATGTTCGAAGTGTTGTCAATGATTTTAAACACTTTCAAGATGCTAAACAATGTATCGAATATTTAAAACAATCTGAAAATACGATATTCCTTGTTTGCTCAGAGAAATTCGGACCATTAATTGTTCCAGAAGTTTATCAATTGAAACATATTTGGTCTATTCACATTTACAATAATGATATACAAAATGACCCGCACTTTGTTCACTCGTATAGTCAAGTAAATCGAAGTAGATTTGAGAAATAGAATTATACTGTTTGTTTTCTCTTACAGGTTAAAATTATTTTCGCTAAAACCAGTCACTTGTTAGAATCTTTAACAAAAGACGTTCAACAGTATTTAAAACACGAGAAATTTGCAGCCGTCATGGGCACTGAAAGTCAGGGTAATACAGCGGAATGGTGTTATGATTGGTGGTCACGTTACATTCATCTTCTTTGTTATCTTCCTTATCCAGAAGATTATCGACTTCAAATTATTCCTTTATTGAGAGATTACTACAGCGGAGTATCATCAAAATTGACTATTGTCGATGAATTGGAAAAGAATTATAAATCAGAGACTGTTATTTGGTGGTATACACGTGCAACATTCTTCTGTGAACTGTTAAACAGAGCATGTCGGCAGCATAACATTGAATTATTGTTCTTATTTGGATCATACGTTCAAGATATTTATCAGCAATTAAAGAAGGAAAATGATGCTTTTAAAGAAAAACGATCCTCGGAAAAGTCCAAAATGCTTGTTTACCGTGGACAAGTGATGCCAACGTATGAATTCAACCATCACATAGCTAGTAGTGTGATGAATAATTCTCTATTATCAACAAGTCTTAATCGTAAGAAAGCAATCGAATTTGTTGGTTTTGCAACTATGAAAGATGATTACATTCGAGCTTTGTTTGAAATCGAAATTGATTTGAACGAAATTACACGTCCTTATGCGTTGATCTCACACTTGAGTGATATTCCGGATGAAGAAGAAGTTTTATTTATGATTGCAACTGATTTTCGAGTTCAACCAGATTCCTTAGAGTACAATGAAGAAGATAAAGTCTGGGTGAAGAAACTCCGTTTATACAATTATCATGAAATCAATGATATAAATAAGTTTGATACAACCATCACAGAAAGAAGACTTAAAGATTGCGTGAATGATTTATTTGATGAAAACCAAACGAGTAAGCCCATGTTTGATGATGCAATGATGATTTTCGAGAAATTAAATGAAATTTGTCCAACAAAAAAATGGATAAAAGCAATAAAACATCGCTATATAGCGGTAAAACATCACTCGACAATAACAGACTGGGATCTTCGCATTAGACACGATCCATCAGCAGCTATAAAAAACTACAATGACGCTTTAAAATTCTGGTCAGAATATGTTACGGATAGTGAGATGAATTGTTTCCGTGACATCGCAAAGATCTATTGCAATCTCGGAGAGTGCTATCATACACATAAGAAAGACGTGAAAACAGCTCTTATGAATTCGCGATTCCACTCGCAAAAGATGACTATGAAAAAACATCATTATTGGAACAATTAACTGATGTTTATAGTTTAAAGATGGATATTAAAACAAATGGAAATGAAAAAGAACAAGATTATGCTGAATTTATCAAATGTAAACAATTATCTGGAGAAAATATGTTGAAATACACATCATTGAACGATTCATCGTTTCGCGATCGTTTAATGGAACCTGGTTGGATTTATGCATCAAACCGTAAATACGATGAAGCTTTGAATATATATGAACATGTGATAGATATCTACCTGAAAGAATCGAAATTAGATTATGATTGGATTATTCGAAAGGTTTCTGACGTAATTGAGATTTATACTACGCAAAAAAATGATTATAATTCAGCATTAAAATATCAATTGATCAAACATGAATGTACATTAAAACAAAATCAAGCAAATTTGACTGACAGTTATGATACATCACAGCGAAAAAAGCGTTATATTGCTGATGAACAAGTTGAATTAGCAGATTTATACACAAAATTGCATTTCTACAAAGAAGCGTATGAACTCTATGGTGCAGCACTGAAATTACGACAAGAATTATCAGATAGGTTCGTTCGTCACGAAGAGATACAAGACATTCAAGAGAAAATTGAATCCATTCGAAACAATATAGAATCATAAGATTGAATATATATGTGTGACTGTATAGTGTTTCTATTCCTCGATGCTACACCAATAACAAACACATCGTTTTTTTTCTTTTCTGTCAAAAAGCAAGCAGTTCTGTATTTCTCTTTAAATAAACATATGGACATCGTCGATACACTTTTCAACCTCTTTCTTCTACCACATCGGCTGGCACGTGCATAGTCAAGTGTATGTCCATCGAGATAAAGCATAACTCTATGTCAATATTAGACTGATTTGTTTCTAAGTGAAAGTGAAATCCAATGTTGATTATAATTACAAGGTGAACTTCAATAGCTAACCAAACAAGTTTTATATAAGAATGAATATAATCGTTGTCGGTGGAAGTCTGGCGGGTTTATTCGTTGGATTGTCTCTCAAACGGCTTGGTCACTATGTTCACATCTTAGAACGCAATTCTCTACCTCTTTTTCAAGGTAATGGAGCAGGTATTTTCGCTGGCGAAGAAACTCGTTTATTTATGAAAAAATTCGATAGATCGGAACGAGACCTGACCATATCACCAACTTTCTTACATTACCTCGATGTTTATGGTAACGAAATACATCGGGAAAATACAGATCATCAAGCCACTAGTTGGGATTTACTATATCATATTTTACGTGCAAACTTCGATGGAATCAAGAATGCGTACTGTCAATTACCAGACGACACAGGCGAAAAGGTAGCCTATGATTATGATGCAAACGTGACAAACATGGAAGTCGATGATGATTCAGTAACAATCTTTTATGAGCAGAAAAATGAAAAGAAGTCGATAAAAGGTGATATTTTAATCGCAGCCGACGGAGCATCAAGTCGTATTCGAACGCTAATCGATCTGACTATAGAACGAAATTATGTTGGTTACGTTGTTTGGCGAGGAACAGTTCCTGAATCAGATATATCCGAATCACTTACATCAACATTCATCGATGGTGTTACTTTTTTCCACGCATCCGGAATTCAATTTGCTTGCTATACTATCCCGGGTCAAAATGGCGCATTAGATCAAGGACTTCGATTAATTAATTGGGTTTGGTATTGCAATTACGCAGATCCGTCCGAAATTCTTACTGATTGTCATGGAAGAAAACATCATTGGACAGTGCCCCGCGGTAAAGTTGCCCACAAAGTATGGGAAGATTTGAAACAATATGCGAATAGCAATCTTCCACCTCAATTTATCGAACTAGTAAATGCGACACAAGTACCGTTTGTTCAAGCCGTTAGTGATGTTCTGGCGACGCAAGCGTGTTACTACAATGGAAGGGTAGTACTTGTCGGTGATGCATTAGCTGGATTTCGACCACACACCGCTAGCGCTACGAGTCAAGCTGCTTTTCACGGTTTACAATTATGGGACAAAATGCAAAGTTGGTCTGATTGGTTGAAGAATAGAAGTTCATACGAAGAGATCGTCATGAAGTTCGCTAGACAGGGTGTTGAACATGGACAAAAATTAGGTCACGCATCTCAATTTGAAGATTATGAAGTCGGTGGCAAGATTAAGATGGGCTACATGACTACAAATGAGGATCGATCAGTGTCTGAGGGAAGCGAATAAGAATGTGTTAGTTAAACTCATTCTTTACTTTTAGTCATTTTGTTATTTGATGATCAATAAACATGTAGAAAGGAAGAAGCAACAAAAAAGTCGGCTCTATTTCAATTACTAGAATAATTTATTGTAGAAAATTTCGTAATAAATATGTAGATTATTCAATCTTACGAGGCTTTCGAGTTCTTTATATTTCTCCTAGTTGTTTTTTTATTTGTATATTACTCGATTTCCAATTTTTTACTTTTCATATGAATTGATTTTCCGACTAGTATTCACCAAATTCTAACCATTGTTCTAACTTTTGACATTGTATAAGTGTTTCTGAAAATTTCAACCAATTGCCCGCATGTTGTTTTCGACTTTTCGGATAGTGGAAAAAGCATCTTAATCCAACAGAGATTTCCTCACATTTTCAACACCGTTTCGTATATCGATAAAACCAATTCAAGAGTTTCTACTTTTGATCCAATTTCTTGTGTTTTATTAGTTACCATGAACAACTAGCGATGTACCGAGGCCAATACATGGTTGGTACGGTCTCGACGAGCACTCTTGTAATCTCGCTCTCATTGAAATTGACCAACAAGAGTGTCGATTGGACTCGAAATTAAATTTAGTAACTTTTGAGGCATGGCGGCTAAAACTTAGATGAACGTGCATCTCGGGGGGCTCGGCAAGACTACCGAATTTCTCGCTACATCCCTATGAACAACCAAAGAGAAATGTATTGAACTTGATAGATTTCACGATACTAGAGCAACAGCATGTGATCGAATTGATGAGTGACGCGTATATTTTCAAACTCTACTTCAAGGATTTCTCATTATTACTTGCTCTATTTTGGTGGATTGTTGTTGGAATTAATAATAAAAGAATCAATAGAAATACCTATCGGTATGTTGATTAAGAAAAGAATGTTCCTCTGAATAAGGAAGGAAAACAAGTGCAAATCCTTGTGATTTTGTTTATCCGATTGATAGTCATACGATTCATTCCAGAGATTTCGCCCACGACATATAGTGTTTGAAATTGTATTTGTTTTAAGAAGAGACGCTATCAACAAAAAACAAAAGAGACACAACCCATGTTGAAGATTTTTTTATTTGGAAGTATTACAATTGCTCGGGGCCGACCATAACGTGATCTCTGAATTTAATTAACATACGTATTCACATAGAAAATGATGAAATAAAAAGAGACGACTGTATTATTTTTATACAAATAGTTACATTCGAAACCAGACGTATGGTAAGTAGTTTAAAACATAATTACAATTTCTGTGTTATATAATGTATGGAGACACTGCTTTCATATCGACTTGTGTATAGGATTCATACGATACTTCAACATACCCATACGGTCTCAACACTCGCAGATCGGACCTTCCATTAGTTTCTTTGCCTAGAAACTCGATTGATCCTCAATATAATCAAGCAATGGCTCAACGGCAAAGCAATTGGAATATGAATACTCTTCCTCAGCAGAACTCATCACTGAGTGTTTCGAACATTACACCACCACAATATGGATCGTCATCGTCAGCTGCATTGGTGCAAGGCAATGCTTGGGGAGACTCGAATTCTTTGAATAAAGGAGGAATGAACTCGAAAACAAATGAAGAATCTAAATTTAGGTAAATAGTGCCAAACAAGCTTAACAAAAGACTTGTCTTTGATATAGTTGCTCGAAACTGTGCGCGAAAATCACCTCCTCGAAAATGCTCTTCTTCTTGGTTGGACTTATCATAGCTGCTGTTCCACTAGCTGTGTTTGCCACACTTTGGTAGGAGGAAAATTTGAAAGAACTAACGCTATTTATTATGATACCACTCATCTTTTGTAGGGTAAATAATCGTTCGAGTTCCAGTTCAGAAGACAGTGGCACAAGTAAAGATTAGTTTTTTTAAAGTTCTTTATTAGAATCAACTATCGATTTTGTTCGCGTTTTAGCATCAACAGCTGCCAGTTCCGCCACTTTACCAATTCAATGTTACGCTTACTCGACTCTGAATGATATAACTCGAAATCAGCAAATGGGTTATAGTTGTTGTTATAGTCCCTATGACTCAAGCCTCATCGCCGGTTGGTACCGTGTTACTGGAAGTTCCGGTTCACAAATTGCTTCATCACCTATTTATACGACAAGTATATGTGGCAGCAGTTATCCTGGCTATTATAATGGATCATTACCATCAAAAGCCGGTACATTAACAACTGGAAATGCATGTTTTTACACAGGTTCTTATTGTGGGTATTCAGTCTCGCCAATCAGCGTTATGAACTGTAGCGGGTACTATATTTTTTATCTAGTACCAACCAGTAGTTCAAGCTATAGATATTGCACAACCAGTTGATAGGCATGTTTATACTTTGACATGTTTGACTGATTTTTATTTTATGTGCTAAATCATTGACTTTTCGTTTCTCTCGTGGATCTCTCTCTACCATTATTCATTTATATTCATCAATAAATACAGATGCTGAAAAAACCAAAAATAGTTGAAAATTTATGCAACGAAGATGAAGTACTCATACGCTTTTCTTTGCTTCGACATACTATAGAATAGATTCTGATTTAATCCTAGTCACCACTGAGGCTATAGCGACAATACACAAATGGGTTCTTCATAGGCGAATATTTCCTTGATACATTTTTTTAGTAAAATAAAAATGTATGCGCCGCAGAACATCCACGTCGACTGCAAAAAACAGAGAGCTCTGTCAGTATAGCGAAATAATTGCAATAAAATTCACCTCATATGTATTCTCCGGTGTATTAACATCATAACACAGAGTGGTAAGTAGTCGCGTCATTGAATTCGATATTACTTGATAAACATTACTTTTATCTAGGCTAGATTCCATCCCCTATAAAATGGATGATAATGATGCACTGTCATACTCACAATATAATTTCTGTGCCAAACGCTGATGATTCTCTCGCTACTATTGGTTTTGGCGAGAAGTCTTTTACCAATGGAGACATTCTCTTCTGATAGAAAGTATTAAAAACACACGGTTTACTTAGCTTTCTATTGAAACAAAAGAAAATACTTGTTTGAAGAATTCCTTGAGATCTCATGTATGATCCAAAGTTTGTCCGAGATATCGATGCGGCAAGTGTGTGTACCAATGAATTCTTACTATAATTTGTAGATGACAGCTTGTCGTGGCAGTCCAGCATTGATCGATGCTGATGCATGGCCTACAGAGTCGTTTCTAAAAAACACCTCAGTTATATCGGATTTCAATTCTCACAGCCGATTACATTGACCCATATAGTGATCACTGTAACAAATTATTTTCGCAGATTTGGTTTGGTACGCGAACCGTGCACACATTTAATTGCAACACAAATAACTAACTTCAATTTGATACATCGAAAACCCACAATTAATACCAGATACTTCATTCTTTGAATTCGTATTCACATCAAATTCAATACCGAAAACTATGAACTGGTTATGAGTGAATTCTTCATATCACATAGAAGGTATAAGGTTTTTACTGGGTGACAGTTCTTTATTTTGGGTTTTACATTTTTTGTGAAGAGAATATGTGAAACTAGAAATCATACTTCGGATACAAGGAACATAGAAAAATCACTTATTGGTTGGTCTAATCGCGTCGACGACGCGTACGACCACTCCTTCACTGAGATGTATAATCCATTTTGCCTTTTTAGCATCGAATGAGCATGAATCAATCTGGAACCAGAAGCCGTTTCGGAGTAGAACCTCTTCTTCTTCAGGGTAAAATGAGTGTTCTGAAATATCCGTACCCAAGTAATTCACATCAATTTCAAATAATACATTGCCAAACTGATGGAACGAGTCGTTGAAGTAAATGCTGGAAACAACCATTCTTTTTTACCAATAGACCGTTTAAACTGCTCGATACAAGAACGTTTCCATCGTGTATAAACGGGCGCAGACAGCGAGTGCTTTTTCTTCGCTTTCTCCTTTCACATTAAGAAGCTGTGGTGCCATCCACTCTGCTTCTTGTTGCCTTCCCACTTTCTTTCCTTCTATAATCAGACCTTCCACTGCTCTCTCTAACCAGAAGCAACCATTAGTTCTGTAGCAGTCCATAAAAGATTTACAGTTGAAATGATTTCGAACCATATCATTGAAGTTGGATACATTTTCACTGTCGACGAACGCTGTTGCAGGTGATATAATGCTAGAAAAGAATCTGCCTTCACGTAGTTGTACTTCGTTCTCCCTTCCATGAAGTCTTTTTACAGGTCGTTGTTTATTGAAATCATAGTTCGAGATTTGAACAAAGTGTTTGAAATCGACGTGGTAGCTGTAGAGAAGAGCTTCACTTGCTTTTTTTCTGAAACGCTTCTTCAATCATCGCTGATTCCACATCCGAATAACAACTCCATCGAGCAGCCTCGGAAGACCATGGATCCGTATTCGACTTATACAACCATTCTGCGCGTCTCCTTCCTTGTAGTAGTACATAAGAGGAAGAAGCGTGTTCCATTATTCACTCAATAAAAGAGCAAATCGTATACGATAGAACCACTTGTGAGCTCTATTCGGGAGATATATAAAAGAAAAAAGAATCCTTATCAACGAATAGTTTTATATTCTTAAAGATAATAATATGGATGTAAAGCGAATTTATGGTTTATTGCATCGTATTTTGTGAGGTAAACTACATTTTTTCAGGAGTTATTGTGCAAATGAATAAATGAAGGACCATAAAAGATTTTAGTAAAGCGTTCCTTTTCGGCATACTGCAGCACCGCGAAGTTTTAAACATGTTTCTCGTAACGTACTGTCCATACTTTAACTCTCTTCAAGTCAAGACCATATTTGAAAAGCTGTTTCTGAACGAATTTCTATGCTTTAGATCATCGAGAACATCGGAAATGACTTCGGTAATGTCAATAAGTACAAAGGAGATCTGGATAAATTTCACCAAAGTTTGCATCCAGTTTATGCACATCGGTCTAACCCACTCCTAATTTGTCTCCTAATACTATATCCACGTTTGACTACACTTAACAAGGCGATATGAAAAACTTGTCGTCCTTTTTTTGCCATGAAACTGTGTGGGTGAAATTTCACTCAGGTTCCATCCAAGCCACCCTCGCCCTTTCCAGATATCGCTTGATTTTCTGTTCAACAAGAGCATCATTCCATGCGCTTCCATATCGTAATTAAGAGGCGACATGAGTCGACTAGGCTTCGACAATTTTACTTGTAAAAATATGATATGAAAAGAAAAGCTCTTAAATTGCGGTTCAAATCATGACTCAGTATCCGAAATGTAAAGGTTTCCTTCACGATCCATTGATAAATCATTAGGATCATTGAATTGATTTCTCTGACCGCCATTTCTATATCCACCAACAACGACTTTACCTTTCTCATCTCCTTCACCCCATCGCACGATTTGATCATTATGCGAATCTACAACATAGATTTGATTCCACTGATCAACAAATAATCCTTGAGGATAGTCCAATTGATTAGGATTGTTTCCTCCAGCGACAATGAACCCTTCTTTTGCATTTGTTGAATTGATTGAACCATTTGTCTCTGGCTCGATTTCAACTCCAAAGGAAAATGTTCAACATGATCATAACGGCACAAAGAACTAATCTAAAATATATTCGTAATCCTGGTTTGAATATCTTTCTCTGCAATGAGAACTAAAAGAATCAAGTCAAATAATAAATAAATGACCATTAGCTTACGAGATTTTAAAGCTTCTTTATCTTCTTCAACCTTACCATCGTGAAGAAGTTGATGGATCAATGATAACATTACGACTGATAGACTTTGCATAGATTCATTTAATCCAGTCTTGATTTCGATGAAAATATTCTAAAGAGAAAAGCAAACCACCGAATAGATCAAGAGGAAAACAAACCTTTCAAGAGATCAAACCGACAGTTCTCTTGCTATGGAAGGCCAGACCACAAAAATGCCATGTACGATGATAAGAATCGAATAAAGAAAGAACATAAAACATGCAATTGAAATCAATATCGACTTGCAACAATCGATCGTCAGCGATTTCGAAGTTTTTTTCTATTCGCAAAAAATATAAATAATAGTAAAGATGAATGATTTTTGAGTCAAAAATGTTTCTTTTTGTCCAACTCATCAACCTGATCTTCATACAATAAGAGAGTAGTGTTCATATACCTTGCGTTTTCAGACCTAACAAATAGATGAAAAACAGATAGACGTTGATTTTTTAAAGAATTTTTATTATAAGCCATTTTAGAAAATGTACTCAATATAACAAAAACTAATTACAACTAATCATTGTCGACTCGTTACAAATTTCGAAATAGATCGGATGAATGAACGAATGCATGTATTTAAAAAGAAAAACGTCCACATTCAATATAATAACCGTCCCCAGTGACAAAATAATTGGATTACAAATGCAAACGTAATTCAATTTTCTTCCAAATTTTTTTTCGCATAGTTATTTAATATATGCATCACCATAGTCATGTTAATGCAAAATTTATTACAAGAAAAACATGTGTTCGATCCTTGTGGACGGAGACAGTAACATGTTATAATTTCGATTGCATGGCCTTTAGATCAGCGAGAAAATCTCGTGAAGTTTCCTCGCCTTTCTCGGCACGCTCTTCAAAGATCTTATGATTTCTCTCTAACCATTCCATTTCTTCTCCTGCTGCGGGAAGCATGATGCCATCTTCAGCAGCATTTTCGGGATTTACGTCGTTTAAGCCAATAAGATGGCAACGTTCACCCACAATCGTCATCCATGCATTATTTATTTGAGAAATCAAAGATTCCTTTGACTCGGCTGATCGACCAGCTCGAATATGACCAATAATTCGTGCTTTATGGCGAGGTTTATTATTGATGAATTCAACCTTTTCATTTTCAAGCAGAAAAACAAGTATAGCAGTAAATGTCCGACATTTGTACTTACGTTATCATCAGTTGAATGAAATACAACGTTGACAAGTGCAGGTAAAGCACCAGTTACAGTGCAATGAATGTTTGTGATTTCTTTGCATACTCGCTCCTTTTGTTGCTTGGTTAGTAGTGTCTTTGGATGTTCAATAACATAGAGTGGCATACTGAAATATGACTAAAAAGTGAATGATGACTTCGCAGTTTTGGCCTTTCTCTTACGTTAGTATCTTTTTTATATTCAAGATAAGAATTTTCGAAAGAAGACACGATGATACTGTCACATTTCTTCAGCAAATACAAAACTATATTATTTCACTCTTGCAATCAAGAATAGCATTGACAAATTGTCTTTATTAATTAGTTTTAGTATATGAAATAATAAAGCAGTTCAATCATAAATATTGGCATAGAATCTGCCAGCGGTACCTCCCGTCTGATAGAGTCGAAATGAGATTATGTAGTTATAACCAATTGTGGCCGGGAAGGATTGAGCAAGAAAATCATAATTAGGATTTTGGCAATGATCAATGTAACAGTTACCAGAATAGCAGCTACTGCTTGTTATTTGACCCTGATCTCCAGCACCACATCCTGATTGACACGATGTTATCCAACCAGTTGGTGTTGATGATGAGTTTTCAAAGGCAGGATTCTGCAACAGTTGAATAAGCGGCGCACTAGCAAGAATGATAGATACATCGTCCAAGTAGTTTGTATCTGCTGGGCCATTATTGAATCCAAACATGAGAGTAGGTGCCGAGGTCACTGCTGTGTAATTGAATGAAAAGAGAGTCCATGGAGTTGCGCCATTTCTTTGCAACAGATTACTTGCAGGAGTCGTTGTACATGATGGAACTGAAGTATATATAACAAATTAAAAAAACAACGTTTAACAATAGGAATTACTCACATGTCATTGTTACCGTTGTTGTTGTTGTTGATGTTGATGATGATGTCGTTGAGACTGTTGTTACGTTTTTTGTATATGCTGCTTGCGGTGGAAGTTGCAGGTAGAAAAAACTCGCATTAGATAATATCATCAAGCCATCATCGGTAGAAGAATAGTTTTTGATTAACTGACATGTACTATTGTTTGTGATACAATTCCATCCACTAGCAGCGTCCAATAAAGCAGCACATGCACATTGTGCACAGCTAAAGTTGGAAAATATTCGATTAATATTGGTTGCTCTATACACTACGTTGGAAAGTAAATTGACAGAAATCGAAACACCAGTATCCATCATAAGTAGCAATAAAATTATTGAGCTATGATTTACATAATAACGAAGGACTCGGAGAGAGTTCATTGTATAGAATTCCTTGATTCGTTGACAATAAATAATGGAACGACAACTATTCTCTTTGTTTCTCACCTTAGTTGAATCGCCTTACAATCGAATTTGTTTCTATGAAAAAAAGTGAATACAAAACAGAGAACGACAGATCAATAAATACGACACACCTCAAGAGACACTCGAAGCTAATTATAATTAAGAAAAGTTCATTAAGTGTAAACTACTAATGCTTCAGCACAGAGAAAATATGACTACTAAAGTTTAGATGACAGGTCGTTTAGAATAGTGCAAAGTTGAATCGTAGTCAAACTTGCCTTCCCAGAGAATTTCTATACTATTAAAACTAAAGTAGAACGTCCAAAGTGATGCACTTTATCGTAAGAAAAATATAGATAAAAAATAGTGAACTGGAAAGATGAATGGGTGCGGTATGAAAAAGTGCATTGAAGTTTTTCTTTTCTATATTGAAAATTTTAAGTATGTTCATTGTCTACTTTAGCGGTTCTCAACGTCATCACATTTACGATAAAGAGCACTACCACTTCTCCGTTTTTCTTTTATCGTCATCCATAGAGTTACCATTTGTGTAAGTTATCTAAAATGCGAGTATTCAACGGAACGCTTAACATATATGGCATAGCTGATCAAAAGAATCTATTTTTGATCTGATCGTCATTGTAGCATATATCTCTTTTATGTTTATATCGTTTAACATTTCTGCGATGTTCACCAGAGAATATCAGAAATAGCTATTCACTAATGTGCTCGGTACATTGATAATATAAATAAATGCATACACACAAAATGCAACATATGAAAGAAATGAAGCACCTGCGGCAGAGAATGAGTATATCAGTAAACAATTCAGACATTACAACGAACATTGAGTTGAGAGGAAAACGCTCTAAGTCACCTTGTATTCGTCATACTTCATTAATGATTATCTTTTCTTCGTTTATATGATAGTTGCAGGCACTTAACAGCACCTGCTAATAATGATGTAATACCACACTTCATTTTATGCACTCATTCCTAAGCACATTTCCCATCATCTCCATAAAAGTGTAAGATGTATATACGATAATGAAATATACTTTGCGAGCAAAACGGTCGTTGATTTTTGCATTCATCCCGCATTACTAATTCAGCTTGCAGCATTTTTCATTCCAATCAAAACCAGGCAAAAAAAGACTAATTATAATCCTTTTTAAAATGGAAAGAAAAACAAAGGAGGAGTATTCATGCTAATTGAGATTTTTTTTTCTTATTATAATTGAAGTCCAAAAATACGCACACTCTCTATCTTTTAACAGAAAAAAAGCGACGTGCTTGGTACTCTGAAAGAGTTTTTTTTTCTTTTTCAAATATGAACCTAACCTCAACCGAATTCTGGTTTATTCCTACGGATATTCTCATGATTATATGCACAGTACTAATTATCATTCTTGCTACTCTTTTCCTATTTATTATCGTTCTGCATAAGACGTGTCATACGATCTCGATGATGTTAGTCGCAAATACTTGTTTAACAACACTGGTCTTAGGATGTGTATCGTTAAGTTTAAGTTTATTTACATTAGAAAACGATCTGAAACAAGTTTACTCTGAAGATTCACTTTGCGTTCTTCGAGCCTATCTGAACTACGCAGTATCTGCTGAATTCATGTTTTCGTTTTCATTACAAGCTCTCTATCGATATATTACAGTGGTCTATCGTACTAATTTGTACTGGCAAACATTCAAATGTCAAGCTCTATTTATCTGTATCACATGGATCTTCTCTTTGACGTATCCAGTGGTATTCATATTCCTTCATAACATAACTTATAATGCTGACAATCAAATATGTCAGTTACCTCTTGGATTATCTTTTTCGTTATTTTATGGAGTCTTTTGTATTTATCTCATTCCTGTGTCGATGACTATGTTCATATATTTTAAACTAATTCTACATATAAGAGAATTAGGTCATAATACGATGATTGTTCATACATTGATCCGCGTACAGCGAGAATTGAAAATGGTACAACGTATAATCATGCTTCTGAATATAATCGTGACAATCGGTGTTCCCTATGGCATCTTTGTTTTCATCTCATTTTTCACCACGCCACCGAAGTATCATTTTCGTATTGCTTTCATATTCACCGATGCATCGATATTGATAGCACTGATTGCTTTACTTCAATTTACCGATCTGCTGAAAAAGTCGTTAGTAAGAAGATTTCGACAGCAACCAAATGTCGTTGCTGCTGCTGCAGGAAGAACATGAGAGTGACAAGTAGAAATATTTTATGCCATTGCCTTTTATTTGTCAATGATTCTGCGCCTACGTTTGGTTTAAAGAAAATAAGTGATGTTAAAATTATAGCAAAAAAAGCTCTTTTCATACGAAAAGTTTTAGTGTATTGTTCGTTTTCTAAATAGAAAAGAAAACGTTCAACGGATATTGTCGATATTTCCATAACAGAAGAGGACTCACTTTATTTCTCACAAATACTATCAAGATCTCAGGAGGTACTTATTATAGCGCTTTTCAATTCATTCTCATCGGTAGGTTTGCCTTGGCAATTGATGACAAAGATCGAAGCGACGAGAGCCAAATAGATAATGATCCTTTTGCCGGTCATGTTGCTCTCACTGGAAGGTGTGAATGTAGTGAGAAAGTGAAACTTAAAAAAAAAAATTTCTGTGCATATGCAGTCGATTAAATAGGGAATGTAGTATGTGGATAGGGTTGAATGAACAAGCCAATAAGAAGAAACGCACCTCCACAGTGCAATCTTAGCGTTGACTGTTTTCACATCTAGACTTTCTAGGTATATTTACGACGAAGCAAGAAGTAGAAAAATGACGTATATTCGTTTACAATTTGCCAATACACGAAAGAAATGTTCTTGGGTTACCCTTGGTGCGTTCGATCTGAATAGTTGGTAAATATATTATCTCAATTCTATAGTTGGTATAACTGTTTCTGTTCGTATGTTCATTTTTCGCAATATGAACAATTTCAACGATTCCGTAAATTGAAATAGCGCAATCATGATGAATATCAGCGATGGATTCGTGAAGATCGCCGATATTCGATAGTAATACTTTACTGGTTCGGTAAAAAACGATATAAATAGAAAAGATGTATAGGGTAGACCAAGTACAACTAAGATCGTCGTTATTGTTACTATTCGACGTACCATTTTCAATTCCCTTCGTAAACGAGGTAGATTATTTCTTGTTGTAATGACGTTTCTACTAATTTGTTTCACATGTCGAACCAATTTCAAATAGATCAATTGAATTATCAATACAGGACCAAGATAACCGTTCGAAATGACGAAAAGAAGCGGAAACGAAAGACGCAATGGAATTTGACACAACTGATTATTCACATTATACGTAATATCGTTCGTGAAGACAAATGCTAGTGGATAGAGATACGAAAACAGCCATGTCGCAGCAATGAGTAATAGTTGAATTTTGATCGATTGCCAGCATACGTTAAGTGGGTAAATAACTAAAATATATCGATAGATCGCTTGTAATAGAAAAGAATAATTCATTGCTGTGCATGTGGCATAACTTAAGTAACCACGAATGATGCAATAGAGATCGTAATAATAGCGTTGCTTTAAATCATTTTCTAACATGAAGATTGTCATGAGAAGTAGAACAATTGCGAAACAGATTTGTGTTAAACATGAATTAGCTGTTAATATCATTGGTAGGGTGTGAGATGTTTGATCAAGAATAATGATAAGTAAAAAGAAGATACCAAGTAGGATAGCGAAAGAGAGGATAATGATCATAATGATGTCATGAGGAATAAACCATGTTTCGATGTCTATTGTTGAGGAATTGTTCATCGATAGAGTTGTCTGAGTGAGATAAATCAGCAAATAAGTTTACGTGCGAAGAATCAAAAGTAAATGAGCGTTGGTGTATTCTTTTTTTGTCACCTCCTTAGAAGTCGTAGAACAAAATTATCTGTTTCAGCGACGTTCTCGACACGCGAGTTAATGAGGTATTTTTTGTTGGAAATGCCGAGTATATTATCATTTTCTCAGTATTCAAGTGTAAGAAAATATTAAATATGGATCAAATACCCAATGAACAAAGAGATACTATAGGAATAACTAATCATTAGCTTCATCGATGAAAATTTGACTAGATTATATGTGTATTAACTGCGCAATAAATAAAATAGCCAAGAATTAATTATAAACTAATCTGACAATGAGTTATTCAAAAGAAAGGCAGATATCACATCACAAGATCAGTGAGACCTCACTTTTTGTTGGACTTTGCTTCTCTATGATTTATTACTGAAGGTTTTATGAATTAATTAAAATCTCTACAAGAGCATGGAACAATGTTCATCAATTTATGATTGAGAAAAATATTCAAGAAAACTGACGTAGATATCTTCTGACCTAGGAAATGACATTTTAATCGTCAATACAGAGAAATTAAAAGTAATTCAATAAAGTTTTCAAGAAGCACATCTTCAGGATGAGTTTATAAGAAAGCCCCATTTTTCTCGCCAGTGTTCCATAGTCGTTTTTCCGTCTTCAATATTATCATCACTCTTTGCATAGAGACCAAATTTTGTCTCCGCATGGCCCAATGGCATTTTTTTGTCCTGTTGAATAAATCTAGGATCGACTGGTTCATTTGCGGGCTGCCAACGTGTATCACATGAAAGACGTAATCTATTCGTTAAATTAATCGATGACATATGAATGGTACGCATTGTGAAGATCAGAATATCACCAGCGGAAAAAGCTACAAGAAATGAATGAACGATTTCTGCTTATATCGCGTCCTGGGAACTAACCGGTTGTTTTCCAAACAGGTGCAGATGTGTCCTCGGTTTTTGACACGTCATTCAGTTGATAGAACTCCATTGGATCTTGTGTAAACCATCCAGTTCCTTGTAGTTTATCTCTATCGACATCCATGTTTGCATACGTATTTTGTAATTTTGTATACCCACTCTCATCTGGTCTATCCATTCGATGACTACCTTCTAGAACTGCTAGTACACTCATATCCAATGTCAGATTATCCAATGGGATCCAACATGTTAACAATTGTGACGAGCCACGGTTCATGTAGACTCGATCCATGTGACAACCAGTATTACCACCTTGATGCATACCTCGCAACCATTTATAACCAAACGTTATAGGACGTACGCCGTGAAATATGTTAGTGAAGATCTGATACAATTTCGGATTTTCGATGATCGCTGAAACGGCAGGATGAGTAGTGATTGGGTTGCTTCCTTCCATAAAAGGAACGCATCCCACATCGCAACCACGTGACAGAATGCCATCGATGTACGATGACGAGAATACTGGCTTCTCTAGTAAGCCGGTATCATTTAGATTTTGAATGTATTCAAGAACTGAAACAAGGTAGACTAGTTCTATTTTTGCAAAATCAGATGCCATTTTACCTGTCGCTCTCGCTTTTAGTACATCGTCTTCTGGTATGACATGTTTCAAATAGATATAGCCTTTTTCATCTAATTGATTTCTCAATGCTAAACCTACATCTTCAGCTTCCAAACATTGATTGCATGGTTCCATCAATTTCAAATATTCACCGCCTAGTTTCCATTTTCGTGGGCCTAGTTGTACGTAAACTGATTCTTCAGACGACATGAATATCTAAAAGCATAATCAAAACAAGATCTATCCTATAGATAAAACAGAAAACAAAGCAAAAATGCTACATATACCGATCATTCTCGTATCCGTTTTATTAATACTAATCGTTAACATTCATTTTATGAGAACAGCTTCAATGATCGAGTCGAGTGCTTGAATTGGATAGTGCTTTTTTACTTGAAATCCGGCTTTTTCAACTAAGACCTAATACTCTTGCTCTGTTCGTGCTCGAGCAGTACCGTAAGCAGCCATTCCGATATCAAATGCACGTATTTGCCAATTACTCATCGTACCATCCGAAAATATGGCATGTTCGACGATAAACGATTTTCATCTCCATTCTTCACTACGGCGATACATTGTGGCAAATCGAATACGAATCCCTTTCGAATGCTTTCATAGTATTAATGAATCTGAGCGAGGAAAGTACAACGATTACCACCCAGCTCCAATAGCGTTCCGAAACGACCAAAGTCTACATCATTTATTAATTTATCACCTGTATAAACTGACAGACAGGTCATAACACTGTTGTAGAGATGCACATATTCTTGGTTTTCCGGGTTTTTTTTTCAGAAACTCGTACCAACTGAGACCACCGGATATTTGAGCAAAGCCACTGCCTTGACATTGACCGCAAACTTGTTTGACTAGCTGATACCCAGTATCACTAGCGATCAGTCATAGGTAGTACCGTATACAGTCACGAGAATGCGATGAATGATCCGATGTAAGCATTTCACTGTTTTTCTTCACTGTCAGTGATTTCATGAGCAGTAAGACCTCGCCTAAGTAGATCACTAACCAACCGATCAGCCAAATCGAGCCCTGCGAATGTATAAGCAGCTCTATCTCTATCAAGCAATCGATAGAAACTTGGATAAACCATCGAGAGTCAACGGAGATGCCGATGCGAAAGTCATGATAAGATGAATAATTTGCATCTTATCAACAACGAGTCACATTACACGTGCGTTACCACGGCAAGAAAAAAACGAGTGTGTTCGCTTTACTATTATCTCTTTATCAGTAACGAATTCATAGGATGTATGATGAAAACGTTAGATGCAATCATCACGTTACACAGCGCAGGCGAAACTACGCACTAGAAGATCACTATGATTCTGCATATTGTTTAATTATATTGTCAAAATCATGTTATTTTTTTTAAAATCTCACTTAAACAAGTTCGTTTCTAACTCAGCATATCCTACGAAAAATAATACATCAACATGTAATCACCAGAAGGAAGATTGTTTTCGCACACTAGTCAACGATCATGCCAGATCTTTAACTTTGTCAACTGTCATCACCGATGCACATCTTCTTCTCATTTACGTAAGTCTGCCATGTGCTCAATTTGATGTTAAATCAAACAGTTGCAAAAGGCAAGAATACGAAAAGAATGGATCAAGGAACATTCATTAACCTTTTCAGTCCCGGCTTTTTTTGCGAAAATCGAAGTTTTTTGAATGATATTTCTTCAAAAAAAAAACATTTTTGTCTCAAGCAGTCATTAGTAGTTCATCTTTGTATGGTAGTCTCCGAAGGAATCAACGATACACAGAGGTACATCGCAATTTGGACAGATATATCATATATCACTACGAATATTATGTGATGCAAAAACGACGCATTTTCTTCGAGGCTGGTTTGATTGTGATATTTGTGGAATGAGTGCAAGAAAATGTCGACCAGTTAGACGAAGAGGAGAATTTCTTGTTGAATTCAGAGGTATCACTGATTTCATCAGTTTCTTGCAGTTGCCATTGTGAAAATGTGTAATACCCAGGTCGCACAATCCCATACTCGGATCCNTGTAATTTTGTATACCCACTCTCATCTGGTCTATCCATTCGGTGACTACCTTCTAGAACTGCTAGTACACTCATATCCAATGTCAGATTATCCAATGGGATCCAACATGTTAACAATTGTGACGAGCCACGGTTCATGTAGACTCGATCCATGTGACAACCAGTATTACCACCTTGATGCATACCTCGCAACCATTTATAACCAAACGTTATAGGACGTACACCGTGAAATATGTTAGTGAAGATCTGATACAATTTCGGATTTTCGATGATCGCTGAAACGGCTGAGTGAGTAGTGATTGGGTTGATTCCTTCCATAAAGGGAACGCATCCCACATCGCAACCACGTGACAGAATGCCATCAATGTACGATGACGAGAATACGGGCTTCTCTAGTACACCGGTATCATTTAGATTTTGAATGTATTCAAGAACTGAAACAAGGTAGACTAGTTCTATTTTTGGGAAATCGGATGCCATTTTACCTGTCGCTCTTGCTTTTAGTACATCTTCTTCTTGTATGACATGTTTCAAATAGATATAACCTTTTTCATCCAATTGATTTCTCAATGCTAAACCTACATCTTCAGCTTCCAAACATTGATTGCATGGTTCCATCAATTTCAAATATTCACCACCTAGTTTCCATTTTCGTGGGCCTAGTTGTACATGAACTGACTCTTCAGAAGACATGAATATCTAAAAGCATAATCAAAACAAGATCTATCCTATAGATAAAAAACAGAAAACAAAGCAAAAATGCTACATATACCGATCATTCCCGTATCCGTTTTATTGATACTAATCGTTAACATTCATTTTATGAGAACAGCTTCAATGATCGAGTCGGATGCTTGAATTGGATAGTGCTTTTTCACTTGAAATCCGCCCTTTTCAACTAAGACCTGATACTCGTGCTCTGTTCGTTCTCGAGCAGTACCGTAAGCAGCCATTCCGATATCAAATGCACGTATTTGCCAATTACTCATCCTACCATCCGAAAAGATGGTATGTTCGCCGATAAATATAGTTACCGGTGAGTCAGTACGATTTTCATCTCCATTCTTCACTACGGCGATACATTGTGGCAAATCCAATACGAGTCCCTTTGGAATGCTTTCATAGCATTGAAGAATCTCAGCGAGGAAAGTACCACCCAGCTCCACCAGCGTTCCGAAACGGCCAAAGTCTACACCATTTATTAATTTATCACCTGTATAAGCTGACATACAGATCATAACTCCATTGTAGAGATGCACATATTCTTGGTTTTTCGGTTTTTTTCAGAAACTCGTACCAACTGAGACCACCGGATACTTGACCACAAACTTGTTTGACTAGCTGATACCCAGTATCACTAGCGATCAGTCATAGGTAGTACCGTATATAGTCACGAGGGTGCGATGAATGATCCGATGTAAGCATTTCACCCAACGGAGTGAGAACAAAATGTTTACCATCGATATCGTTCTGAACTCGTTCGATAAAACCAATATCAACACGAGCGCATAGTACACGATGTAATATATCAGCATTCCACTATGTTTCTTTATTGTCAATGATTTCATGAGCAGTAAGACTTCAGCTAAGTAGAGTACTAACCAACCGATCAGTCATGATAAGACGAATAACTTGCATCTTATCAGCAACGAGTCACATTACATGTGTGTTACCACGGCAAGAAAAAAACGAGTGTGTTCGCTTTGTTATTATCTCTTTATCAGTAACGAATTCATAGGATGTATGATGGAAACTTTAGATGCAATCATCACGTTAAACAGAGCAGACGAAACTACGCACTAGAAGATCACTATGATTCTGCATATTGTTTAATTATATTGTCAAAATCATGTTATTTTTTTTAAATCTCACTTAAACAAGTTCGTTTCTAACTCAGCATATCCTACGAAAAATAATACATCAACATGTAATCACCAGAAGGAAGGTTGTTTCCGCACACTAGTCAACGATCATGCCAGATCTTTAACTTTATCAACTGTCATCACCGATGCACATCTTCTTCTCATTTACGTAAGTCTGCCATGTGCTCAATTTGGTGTTAAATCAAACAGCTGCAAAAGGTAAGAATACGGAAAGAATGGATCAAGGAACATTCATTAATCCTTTCAGTCCCGGCTTTTTTTGCGAAAATCGAAATTTTTTGAACGATATTTCTTCAAAAAAAAACATTGTTGCCTCAAGCAGTCATTAGTAGTTCATCTTTGTATGGTAGTCTCCGAAGGAATCAACGATACACAGAGGTACATCGCAATCTGGACAGATATATCGTATATCACTACGAATATTATGCGATGCACAAACGACGCATTTTCTTCGAGGCTGGTTTGATTGTGATGTTTGTGGAAGGAGTGCAAGAAAATGTCGACCAGTTAGACGAAGAGGAGAATCTCTTGTTGAATTCAGAGGTATCACTGATTTCATCAGTTTCTTGCAGTTGCCATTGTGAAAATGTGTAATACCCAGGTCGAACAATCCCATACTCGGATCCGGTCAGATCCGATCGGATTTGTTGACCTGGGTATAGTCGATGTAAATTTCGATTACCCGGAAAACGCTATAACGCATCAAATCGATCGATGAAACTAATCGATAACTATAGTGAATTACAAAATTGATAAATTGTATATCTAGGATGTATGAGCGTATAGATAAGAATGGGTACGAGTTTCTTCTCATAACTTCTCGTAGATGAAAGCGTCCTTCACATATATGATTTTGTGAAGTATTAGAGTGAAAGACGCGTACCCTTTCAGTAGACTGTATATGCAATACGCTGTATCGAGCAGTGGGGAATGGCGAACTGCGAAATGAACGGATGATACATCTTATAAAAAGCATGAGGTGAAAGGGAAAATAGCCGAGTCAGTCTCGACGAGCGTTATTTATTCCCTTTTCTGAAAGAAAGGGTTATACAGCGTTTAAATGCTGTGTTAAAAAGCTTAAAGTTTGTCTGTCTGTCTGTCTGTCCTATCCAATCAGAAATCAGCATTTCTAAAATCAATGAAATTGATCGATAGTTGCTAGAAAATGATTACCGGTAGGGTAATCGAGGTCGGGGAACTTCAATCTGCGGTTAGATTTAACTAATTATTAACTATTAATTAACTATCTGTCAACTACACATAGATTATTAATATACAGGGTAAGGGTTGACCGAAGGATAATCGAGGTCGAAGATCTCGAATCCGACGTTAGTGTTGCTTAATTAATTATTAATTTTTCATTGACTAGCCACGACTTATTAACATCCATTTCCAGAGTAGACCGAAGGATTTCTGATGTCGGAAAATTCGAATTTGAGGGCGAATTTTGTTTTATTCGCTGAGCCTGGGCTTGTTCCTTCCTCTTTACAAAGGAGATATTTTTCTTTATCTGTTCGAAAATCTTTTGTAGAAGATGGTGAGCTGAACGCTATTCACGGACGTCATGCGTACCAAGATTGTCGCTCAAGAACTTACGCGAAAAGATCTAATGCATTGTACATAATGATGTTTCTAATTGAAGAAATCCGAAAAGGTGATATGAGCTTAGTATCATCTTTTGCTTTGTAGGCTACATACATCATGTCCTTTCATGGGAATTTAGTAGAAGCAGTTCGCAAAGCGATATACCCGTCGGTGGAATTCCATCTTAGTAACCACAGACGGGTGGACTATACAAATAGTATTCTGAACACATGCAGCACTATCAAAGATGTTCGCTTCGAAGCAAATCATACAATAAGACTTTCTTATCTAGTTTCTTTGGGTAGTCGAATGAATAGAAGATCGTGACTGTAGAAGCGACAATAAAAGAAAACCCAATCGTTCAGTTTGAAAGTCGATCNTCACCCCAACCCCAACCGAAAAAATCAAAAAATTCCGTTTGTTATTTCTGGCCAAAATACTAATTTTTAGTTTTAAGCTGCGGAAATTTTTAAACTCAATTCTCAAAAAATTTGCGAGATAAGATTTTCGTTTCAATGCATACTTACTTTCATGTTCTTTCTTCAACAGAAGAAAATCACCAATGAGAAAAATTATAGAATCTCACTATCAGTTCAGAACAGTGTTTTTAATATTAAGTACCACAAGCAAGAGCAAAGTACCCGTGGTACTTACGATTTTAAAATGGTACTTGATTTGGCACTCTGTAGGAAAAAGCAGAGGACCTTGCTGGTACTTTGAAAAATAAAAAGGCACTTTGCTCGTTTGTTATACGCCATTAAATAGAAAATTCTTTTCATCCTCCTTTCATGTTTAGTTATAGATGGAGCTGAACAGTTTTTCTTTATTTTATTGTCATCCAATTTATTAGATATATAACTGTGTATTTTTACATAAATAGTCTTGTTTTTCGACTATAATCGGCTATTCTTCGTTTTCTTGTCTTCAATATTCGTCTTTTCCTAACTCGAACATAAATCGTGATTTGCAAATTGCAATTATTCAATTTTATTACTTGTCCTATGAGTTATTATTTATTAATCAAGTGAATATATTAGTATAAATCAATTTTACCTGCTTCTTTTATATATGCTTTGAGCAACTCGTAATTAAACAAATGAATGTTTACAAATTATCTAGCGAATTGTTGTCAACAAATGAAATTGATTTAGATGGGGACGATTTAAATGATTCAATCTATTTATCGGATGATACCAATCAAACTTCTTGTCAAGAAAAAGAAGCAACGGCTGATAGTAAAAGTACAATTAGTCCAATCAATTACTCTTGTGATAATAAAGCAACAACTTTAGATCAAACATCATATAAATCATTGAAACGACAAAATCGTCGATATGTATGCGCATGGGAAAAGTTACCGGAGTCATTTTATCGAACTTATATATTTGATGTGTCAAACAAATGTCGAGAAAAATCTATCTGCTGGTTGTACATGAAAAAGAATGAAAATAACATGGAGACTATGCATTGTAAGCTATGTGAAGCACATAACAGAACAATTAATTCAAATGGAAAACCTAACTTGTGGTCAACTTCTGGGTATGAAATAATGAAAATATCGAAAATTAGAGAACATCATCAAAATGAAGTTCATAAAATTGCTCAAAATCTTGAATTACAAACTACCAGTCGTTCTCAACCTAGTTGGTCTGAAACCCAAATTAAAGAACGAAGTAAACATGAAGAAGCTATTCAAAATTTAATTTTATCAGCAATTCATTTATGTCAACAAGATCAACCGTTGAATTTATACGATAAATTGTGTACATTACTTGAAGCTGTTGGTGTGAAATTATTACCGGCAGAATTAGGCGGAATAACATATAGAAATGATAATGCAGCATTAGGATTTTTACGTCATGTTGCATCTTATTTACATCAAGAAATCGTTGAAAAAATCAACGACAGTCCATCAATCGGTAAGAAGAAATTCAAAATTTACATCCATGACATTGTTGATTGTTTAGGATGGATGCTTGATGAAAGTACATCTCGTACTGTAGAAAAAAGTCTAATAATTTATGTCAGATATTTTGAACAAGGTGAAGCTAAGACAAGGTTTTATGGAATAATAGGTTTGTCTGGTGATGGTACAGCTCTTAATATCGTCAATTCCATGAAAACATTTTGGCAAAAAGACGATGTTAATCCTGAAAAAACTTGCTGGTTTGCTACTGATAATGCGGCAACTTTCACAGGTAACGATCTAATCTTAAGATAATTAATTTTAATTTCAGTAGGTATCAACAACGGTGTTGTAACAAAACTAAAACAAGATTTGGATTTGGATTTTGTGGAATTAAATACATGTGTAGCGCATTCATTTGCACTTGTTGGTAGTCAAGCTGGTTATATGAAAAACGGTATGAATTGTATAGTTTTGTTCATCAAATAAACAATATTATTTAGAAAAAGATGATAAAGCGAAAAAACGTGATTTAATTTTACATCTGGAAAACATCATTGGAAAGATTTATCAATATTTTGGTTCGAGTGCAACTCGAACAGCAAAATTAAAATCATGGCAAAATTTATTAGAAATACCTGAATTAAAATTCAAACGATTGTTTCATATACGATGGACAAGTATTCGAGATTCAATAAAACCAATTGTACTGAATGTTACACCGAGTAAAATTTCTCTAGAAACTATCTAATCTTTATTGTAAGTCATTTATTTAATTATAGCAAATCAAGCTCTACTAGCAACTTTAGAAGAGATCAAATTAAAGAAGAATTTAGTTCATGATGATCGTGAAGCTGCAACAGAACTATTGAACTTAATTCTCAATGATGATTTTTTGTTCTTGCTATATTTTCACTACGATTTACACGAATGTGTCCTTGGTAAGATGAAATTACTATGTTCATTATAATAACATCTTATTATTAACAGGAGAATTAACAAAAATCTTACAAGATGATGATTTACCATATTTTACCTTTATGAATATACTTGATCAAAAGAAAAAAATATTAAATAATTGGCTTTCTGAAAAGAACAAACAAGAACCAATACTCGGTCCTTCATTAACTGATTATGTAAATTTGATTAATACTAACAATTCATTTGGAGCTTTTCAAGTTATTCTGACCGATCGTACTAAACTTTATAATGAATGTTTTCTACATATTGATCGATTATTAATTGAACTTGAAAAACGATTTAAACCGTGTAAAACACAGGAATGTTTTATCGTTTTATTTGAACCTGATTATTTAATAAAATATGCAACAGAAGTTGCTAAATCTTCTTATGGTCGACAAGAACTTAATTATCTTCGTTTAAAATATAAAAAATTAAATGGTTTTGATTTGGATCAATGTAAAATTGAATGGGAAACAATAAAAATACCATTAAGTGAATTTGCTGCTAATAATCAACAGAAAAATTCTCGAAGAGTTTTTTGGAAATCTTTTATTTTATGGAGAGAAGCTGTTGATGACTGTTTTCACGAACGATACAAAAATATGTTGATTTTGTTATCAATTTATTTAATATCTCCAATAAACTCAGCTGAATGTGAACGTGGTTATTCAATTGCAAATCGCATACAAACAAATGGACGTTCTCGAATTACAATTGAAACTCTCGACGTATTGATGAATGTTCGTTTATTATGTTCAGAAGATTTACGAAGGTAAAACTACTGTTTTAAATCGGTAAGAGTTATCGGTTTTATGTTTATCTTGTTTCAGTAATCGATGTAGGCAAATTGTTCAAGAAGCCTACGATTCATGGAATAAACCAAGTGAAAATCGAAGAATTCAAAGAGCACAATTGATTATTGATGTTGAAAAAGATTATGATCCAATTAAACAAGTTCGTCGTTGTGAGAAAAGAAAAAAACAATCTAGTGCAATGAGCAATCTTTCAAGTCAACCAAAAAAGCGAAAGGCAAATGCTATTAAATGTGCTAATGGTTGTGGAAAATATATTGCTGGAGATGATTCAGAAGAAATGAATGCAATTCAATGTTGTCATCAAAATGAATTCTATAGCTGGATCGAAGACAATTGTTCCAGATGGTTGTGTAACACTTGTCGAATTAAATTAGGTATATCAACTACAACTACTACGTGGTTTTGCACCGATTGCATCGATATGCATGTTGAAGAGGAAGAATAACAATTTGTGTTTTGTCATTGATCATATTATATATACACATATGTATATACTTACGTTGAATAGTAAATAAGGATTTGGGAAAACTATTTTATTATTTGTATTTCGTTTAATATATTTATATATAAATATGTTTTCATCTTTCTCTTAATGTATGACTTCATTTTGATATTTCGTACTGTTTGTTTTTTGGATGAACATATTTTTTTTATTAAAGAGAAAAGAACAGAAATCGCATTCCCTTGTGTTTTTATAGAAAATATTGTATTTATGATACTTTGTGGTACCTTGCCTCAATTAGCAAAATACCATTTGGTACTTTACTAACGATTTCAAAGTGCCTGATGACTCTTTGTTTCAGATTCCTATTAAAAACGCTGGTTCAGAACAATGGTTGATTATCTGAAAACAGACCACACAAAGGCATATATAGTTTTCTGCTCGAATTACATAGAATAATTCAGAGAAAAGAATATTCTACCACTAATTACAGTTTTAGCCCATTTGCACAATAAAATTTTTGAAAAATATGATATTTTTCATTGCTTCATTTCTATTGGTTCACAAGAATGATCCAATAAGTGAGAGGGAAGAGATGTATGTAGCGGATTTATTGCTGATTAGCATTGTTCTTGATGCCAACAAATTGGAAATTGATGAATTCGATGTGATATCAATAGCGGTAATCAAGATCTACTTGAAACCAGTGATTGTACCATTGGAAAGCACTTTTAGGCCAAACTAGGCGCCAAAACCTAGGTTTTTCACGGATTAGGGTCGGTTTTTGACATATTTCGGACTGAAGGAAGAGTCTGGCAGAAAAGTGTCGTTAGACAAAGTTGTGGAGCTCGTCGAGTTTCACCAGTCCCAGGAATTTCAGAGCCATCACAAGTTCGTGAGCGAATGTCAGCAGGTATTAGTGGTANCGTAAAAGAGCAGTATGAATGATATTTCCGAATACATGTTTCGGATGATCAGATGTAAACGGTACCACATATGGTTCAGCTGCTTCCTTATGATGAACTGATGTTGTCAAGGTGCCATTCTTGTTTTCGATATGAACATCCAAAAATGACACATCACATCCAATGTTGCGCGCCAGTTTAATGTTTGGGTGCCAATTGTTAGCCGTATCTAGCATTTCATTAACTTTGTCTAATGCCTTATTCGAAGTGAAAAAGACATCATCAATATATCTAACGTGAAAGAATGTGAGATGACGAGTGGAAAGGTAAATCCTACCGGCCATAGATTTCGTTTGAAGATGCTTGTCGTTGGGCAAATTTCTTTTCCCATTTCCACATGAATATATTCGCCAACGTTAAAGTGAATGCAGATCCTATTGCACCACAGATGACTTGTCGACAGAATTTCTTCGCATAGGTAAAAACATTTTCTGTGATGACAGGACGAGCTAATTTCCGAATGGCGTCAATTGGGACGTCTTTCACTTTTCGATAACCATGCTCCATGAGAAACTCGGTTAGAATATTCAAAGATTATTGTTGTGGTAACATTGTATATAAATGTGTGATATCGAATATGCACAGATGAGTGTCATGATTTCCTCGTTTCACTACGTCGCTTTTGTTTATTTCCAATAATCTGCCCTTTCACATTTCCTCCATGGATATATATATATACCCCACGGTTTGACCGCTGAGGCGAACAAAGAGAATGCGTAGATGTTATAAAATAGGTGGTGACGTGTTTAAGAGAGACACATCATGTGATTCGTCACATAATCAAATTTGTAATTTAATGAAAAATATAATCTTATACGATATATATTTTATTTGAATCTTATTCATTGGATTTTAGAGGGCGTGGCAAATGTCGCATTGTAACCAGTTTTTAGCGAATTCCTACCTCTGATTTCTGCATATTCTGTAGAAATCTACTCTCACACTCTGCATTATTAAAACTACCAATCAGAAGTTTACTTTCTGATATGAAATTTTAAAATTCTCCTATATAATGATAACAATTCATCATGTTCAAATAAGAGTGTCATTGGTAAATACCAAAGTAGAAATCAGACATCTACTTCATTATTTTCATCCACATCTGCACTATATCACCTTCGCCCACACCCTTCAGAACTAAAAATTTGCATAGTGGGAGTTAAAACGGATTTTTGAAAAGTTAAAAGTTGAGAAGAATAGCAAAAAGTTAAAATGGTTATAACCATAGTTATAACCTTTAACCGTGGTTATAACCTTCAACCATGGTTATAACCTTTAACCGTGGTTATAACTTTTAACTGTGGTTATAAGTTCTTTTATTACAATTACAATTACTATCGGTATGCTATTTGTAAGAAAGAGTGCTACGTGATCAAAGGCCGTCAAGTACGGCAAGTATTAGCCGAATGTTTGAATATTTTCAACTAACAGAAAGGGTTGATTTGAGGTTTTTTCTCTTGTTAAGCACGTTAAACATAGTTCAGTAAGTTTTCTCTCTAATCTCAGGTTCGGTAAATTGAATTGAGACTGCTATTCGAAAAACAACTTATAATAGAAGTTATCAATAACAAGAAGAATCTTATGTATATGGGCTACTAGTTTCTGATCGTTGTTTCACAAAAAAATAATTTCAAAATCCTGAGGTATAACCTCAACCAAATAAACTCCAATATTTATAAAATAAATATTTATTCTTGCACCTTTGTTAGAATATATGGATCTTCACTGCATAATTTTCTTTTATCTCCATCAAGACAATGTTGTGGAAACGTGTTTGAATTTTCTGTTTCTCAGCGTAACTATACATATGTATAATAAACACAGTCGACTAAAACGTATAATTTTGTTTTCTTCTTTGCCTTGCCTATTTCTCATCGTTTTTGTTCCGATGAAATATTGACAAATCGTAAGAACGAAAGAAGACACACGATCGAGACTATATAAAGTAGTATAAAGGATCCGATATTTTCTTTATCCGTCTCGTCGGACCTGGATCGTACAAATGTATAAAAGTCGATAAAATTTACATAGCTTCGTTTATATACGATTCATTTCACCAGTAAAACAATATTGGTCGTCTTCGATTCTGTACTAGTTTTCATTGAATACAATGCCAAATTGCACAACACCTTCATCATCGTCCCATGATCCACAATCACCATCAAGTGAAGATATAATTGATATATCATCATCAGTCACGTTTGATTCACCGAAACTTGGTGGTCGTCAACGTGATGTTATCTGGTCTCATTTTGATGATATGGGTCCTGCAAAAACACCCGGTCATCGAAAAGCTCAATGCAAATATTGTTCACAGTATTTCAATTTTGCAAAGCTTAATTTGATGTACACGCATGCTGCACATCAATGCGATCAAATAATCAATTATAATCCAAGTGGTCGCAAGGAAATTATTCTAAAAATGCGCGGTTTCGAAGAGGAATCATTACCTTCGAGAAAAAAGAAACGATCAACGGAGGTATGATGTTTTCATTAAAAATATCCTTCTAAAAGGTTTTCTTAGGTGACCTCAACCGATTCTCCGTCTCGCAAGCAACATACAATGGATCGATTTGCAACAAGAATAATATCTTATAGTGAACAGCAAACCATCGATCGTTATTTATTGAGAGCCATTGTTATGAATGGAATTTCTTTTCGAACAATAAATAACAATTTTTTCGTAGAATTTATTAAAAGAATCAATCCATCATATGATTTACCTGGTAGGAAAAAAATTACCCAGGAAACACTTACACAAGAACTTGCTTACGTCGAAAGTCAGAATGAATCATTGTTATCTGAAGCAGCACATCTGACATTAAATATTGATGGATGGAGTGATCGGTGTCATCGATCGTTATATGAGTACAACGTAATCACAGACAGTCGTAAGGCAATTGTTCTTTCTCTTATTGACGTCAGCAGCTTCAGTCACACAGCTGAATTTTTGACCAATAAACTGGAGTCTGTTTTGGCTCGAATTTCTACTAATATTAATATCATATCAAAAATTCGTGCAATTGTTACTGACAATCCAAATACAATGCGAAAAATGCGTGAATTGTTTACTTCTAAGCCAGGACACCAACATATTATTGGACTGCGATGTTTTGCGCATGCAATCAATTTAATTGCTGGTAAGATTCGTGGGTGATATGATAATAAAAGTGTCATTGACAGTCTGTCAGTGCCTATTAGAGCGTTCAAGATAAATGAGTATGAAGTTTTCTTGATATCGTATTGTTTTTCTCCTTTTCTAACTCAATCTCATATTGAACATTTGACTCTCGATGTCTCACTGTGCTTTATGTTTAGGTGATATGATTAAACACGTTTTTGCATCGAACACAATCAGGAAAATCACAGTCATTACATCGTATCAAAATCAATCACACATGTTCAAATCGAAGCTGAAAGAAGAAGCTCAACGAATCAAGATTCGCAAAGAATCTTTGCATACAATTGTTCCAACTAGGTGGTCTAGCGTTGCAGATTGTTTACATTCGTTCATTCTTCTTCGAGCACCACTTGAATTACTTGTGGCCGCAGATAGATCAATTGCACCACCAAAGGTCGTTAATATTATCAATAATCGTTCATTTTTTTATGATATCGACAATTTATACAAAATCATGAAGCCATTAGCTTATGCTATTTCGATTATTCAATCTGCTTCTCTTACATTAGCAGATTGCTATTTAATCTTATGTTATCTTCATTTGGTAACCGAAAAATTCATTGAAAATACGGAGACTCGCATGTTCGGCCGACATGTTCAAAGGGTAGTGAATGTACGACTCAAGGCATTTCAAAATGATATCTATTTAAGCGCGTATTATCTTCATCCAAAATATCGTGGTGGCGGAATGTTAACCAATGGTCGCTCGGCAGTTTACAAATACCTTGCTGAATATAGCAAGACGATTGGAAATAACTTAGCCACGACAAAAAATGTTATTAGTGCTTTGCAGCGGTACGAAATCAAAAGTGGACCATATGGTCTAACTTTCACGCAAGGTGAGTAATGTTTTTTATTTTTAAACTAACTTCTTTTATTGGTAGACGATACACCGGCATCATGGTGGTCCATGATTAATGACAGTACTCACAAAAATTCCTTGTCGAATATCGCATTACAACTTTTTGCAATCACACCGCACGCTGTAATGCCTGAGAGACTATTTTCGGTTCTCGATTGGCAACATGCCAAACGTCGAAATCGTTTGAATCCATATACTTTGGAAGCAATTGCAAAAATTCATACATTTTATAAGAATGGGTCGAACGATTCAAATGATTCTGCTGATTTGGGTGATATTGAAGGGTTATTGAATTTAACTGATGGATTATCTGTCAATCCACACACAACTGAAAATAAGAATTCTACTTCTGGTGATGCAATTGAACTAATTCAATGTGTTAATGATAATCATAAGCTTTTATGTGAAAAATGTGAAGAAGAATGCATTGATGAAGAACAGTCGAATGATAATGAAAACATCTTCGAATTCAAGTGTCTGCTAAATATGCACGATAGAGATTTTCAACGAATACTTGTCGATCTTGGCTTTATCGATGACACTTATGAACAATATGCTGAATCAGATAATCTAACAGAGGACGATGTGGCTCAAAATGGATGTAACGAAGATTATGATGTTGATACTTTATTGACAGAATCAATGGCTCTATAAGATAAATTTTTTCATGAAACTATTCTGTTCTTTATTTAATTATGATTGTTACTTCAGTAATGGAATGAAAATGCTCAAATAAATCGTCCTTTGTAAATGAAATACTTCTTTTTTAACAAAATATAACCTTGTACAGGAAGAAAATGGAAATTTCTTAAAAGACAATGCTGAAGTAGCATTGAATATGTTTCAAAAGATTTCTTCACCATTTTTACTCACTAACATGAGAGAGAAAAACATATTTTCCCACACAATAGCAAAAATAAACGGTGGCAACTATGACTCAAGGTTATAACCACAGTTGAAAGTTATAACCACGGTTAAAGGTTATAACCGCGGTTAAAGGTTATAACCATGGTTAAAAGTTATAACTAAATTAAATTTTGCGCCAAAAAGTTGATCAGTTATAACTCAAAAGTTATAACTCGAGTTATAACCACACCAGTTTTAACTCCCACTATGAAAATTTGTCACGTAGGATATCTTAGAATAGGATTCGAGTTTTTCTTGAATGGATTCGCCTGGTGACGGGACCAAATGGAACCAACATCGGACCAAGATGCAGCTCGATGAGCTCTATCGAATGGTGTATTTACTTTCTCCAAAAGACCCTTCCTTCTAGTGAAAAAGTCGAAAAAACTAGGTAAAAATTTAGTAAAACCTGAATGGATTCGCCTACCAATGGGACCGAGGGCGTGGCAAATCTCAAATTGGTACCAGTTTTGAGCAAATTTCTGATTGCTGATTTCTGATTTCTAATGCAGCACTCTATGGAAACAAGGGAACAAACAGAAATCAGAAATCTACTTTCATACCTATATTTTATATAACCACAGAAAAGCAGAAATCAGAAATTTACTTTCATGCCTACATTTTATATGATAGCAGAAATCAGAAATCAACTTCACTATCTTAATTCACACCCTCACCCACACCCACACCCTCTCACCCTCACACACACAACTGTACTGCGTACATGCTGCTTTCAGCAACAACATGTACATCAGAGTGTATATTAAATATTGCAAGGGTTCCGTACATTTTGATTCTGCTGTGTACACTTGCTATTAGGATCCTTGGAATCTCACTATCAGTTCAGAACAATGGTTGATTGTCTGAAAACAGACCACACAAAGGCATATATAGTTTTCTGCTCGAATTACATAGAATAATTCAGAGAAAAGAATATTCTACCACTGATTACAGTTTTAGCCAATTTGCACAATAAAATTTTTGAAAAATATGATATTTTTCATTGCTTTATTTCTATTGGTTCACAAGAATGAACCAATAAGTGAGAGGGAAAAGATGTATGTAGCGGATTTATTGCTGATTAGCATTGTTCTTGATGCCAACAAATTGGAAATTGATGAATTCGATGTGATATCAATAGCGGTAATCAAGATCTACTTGAAACCAGTGATTGT